AGCTTTGTGTCACTCCAAGCTTTGAGTCACTCACTCCACAATTCGATATTACATAATAGTTGTTTAAGCCATGCTTACAGCACACACACAACATTGCAAATCTTGAGATAGCCATTTTTTTGGGTTTGTTTTTAAAGTCGTCACAAACCGGAATACGGAATTACAACTAAATGAAAAAATTCGTAGTAACGCATGCGGATACATAGCGACCGAGATTAGCAGACAAACTTGAATGACGATGATGATGATGGAGATAATAATGTGAATGATAGTAACCGGCAGTTTTATAATTTTGCAATCTCAAACAGCTGTTGCTACCAGCTATGAAATGAATAAGAAATTATCAAGAGAAGTTCAGAGTTCAGTTTATCATATTTTTTTTTTTTTTTTGTTAAAAATAATTGTTTTGCACTTAAAGTTATTACCACGGCCAAAATTATTTTTTTAAACACTATCTAAAAATAGAGCTTTAAGAAAATTACGCCTTGTATAATGACGTGTTTTATATTAATATGGTATAATAATAGTAAAAGTTTTGTAATAACAGTATTTTTTTGTTACGTGCCGATGTATATGTGACTATTATTTATAGGTCATATAGACATAAATTAGAGCATCCAGTTCATTTGGCTTCGGTATTGGATAGATCAAAACTGAACAAGTAATAAAGATGTTAGTTTGGCCGGGCCGAACTTTGTATGCCCTCCACCATTTGGAACGAATTTGGAAAATTTCTAAAAATAAAATCCTAAAAAAAATCTGTTAAAATTTTAAAAATACCGAATATAGCCGTTATAATGGGGTATATACGACGTGGACCTACATAGGCATTGTTTGTCATAAGCCATTACCATATTCAAATTCGAAACTTGAAATAAACGGTGAATAATGCAGCTAAAATCATCATGCTGCACGAAGTCCTGGACCAGCATAGACAATTTTCTGTCATAGGCTGTAGCATTCATTACGAACTTCAAATATGACATCTCAACCAATATCGATTGGTATTGTACCTAACTCAAAATAAGGAATATAGGGAGGTACAGTTATATGGGGGCTATACGAAGGCGTGGACCTGCACAAATAATTTTCTGTCTTAGAATTTAGTATTCATTGTGAACTTCAAATACCAAATTTGACACAATTCCGGAGAATAATGTGGCTAAAATCATTAAAATACCGAATATAGGGAGGTACTGATATATGGGGGCTATACGAAGACCTGGACCTGCACAGACAGTTTTCTGTCTTAGGCTGTAGTATCCATTACGAACTTCAAATAGCAAATTCGAAACAATGCCGGTGAATAATGTCGCTGAAATCATCAAAATACCGAATATCGGGAGATACCGTTATATGGGGGCTATACGAAGATGTGGACTTGCACAGACAATCTTCTGTCTTAGGGTGTAGTATCCATTTCTAACTTCAAATGCCAAATTTGTAAATCTGGTAAATAATGTCGCTAAAATCATCAAAATACCGAATGCCGTTATATGGGGGCTACACGAAAACGTGGACCTACATAGCCCATTTACGAACTTAACCTGCCTACTGGCAAAATAAACATGTGTGCAAAATTTTAGCCTTCTATCTCAATTCGCTCGAAAGATAGCGTGATTGCAAAAGACAGACAAACAGATGGGCTGACAGGCAGACAGACGGACATCACTAAATCGACTTAGAATTTTACGCTGATCAAGAATATATATACTTTTTGGGTCTGACATGAGTTTTTCGAGGAGTTACAAACGCAATGACAAAAATTAATATACCCTCCATAGTTTACCAGGGTGTAAGGCAGGGAATACCTAGGTTTCGGAAAGAGCCACCAATCCTCATCAGTTCCCTTGTTTCCCCTTACGATCTCGTCACTTGTAAACAAACGTTGTTTTTATAAAAACAACAATAAAGGGATAAAACCTGACCATTTTGCAACAACAAAAGAAAATATTTTTATAAAAAATATCTGAATTCAACGTGTGTGTGCTACATGAAAACGTAGACCTAAATTTTCAATTATCGGGAGGTACCGTTATATGGCGGTTATATTAAAACCTGGATGTGGACCGACACAATATAAATTTTTCTGCCAAATTTTGAAGCTCTATGTCAAATAATGTGGGCTTTATCGTGATTTCAACAGACAGAGGGACATACATCGTTAAATCTACTTAGATTTTTATGCTGATTATGAATATGTATACTTTATGGGTTCTACGACGAATATTTAGGGATGTTACCTCCTTTTCAAGGTGGAGGTTATATAAATTTAAATAATATATGAAACCTTGAATATAGGAACATTTATTTTCGATGTATTTTCATTAAAAATTTGTATCAAACTGAACAAATTGTGAAAGGCCTAATACGAACCTTTGAAACGAATTTAAAATTTTAAGGTGGACTTAATGTGGCACGTTATTCTCTATATAGGTCAATATAATTGTACTTCCCGATATTCGAAATTTAGCCACACTTTCAAAGGGAAAAGTTTAAAATTTGGTATTTAGAGTTCATAATTTGTTCTACCACCTGTGGCCGAACTTTGTCTACATAGATACCATTTTTCGTATAGGCCCCATATAATTCGAAATTTTTTCGATTTTAGCCACATTTTCTAATGGAATAACTTAACATTTGATATTTTTTAAATTTGTAATATATTCTACCTCCTGTGTCTATATAGGCCCACATTTTCATATAGCAACCATATAGAGGCACTTCGGTATTTCCACATTTTCTAAGGGAATTATTAGGATTCCGTAATGGGTTCATCTGCTTATACAGAAAATTTCGACAAAATGCAACGTTATTCTATCCAAACCACTATTTTTACAGAATCATTTGAAATTTTGATAGCATGTTCCTAATAACGAGAAAGCTACCTTTCTGGTTCCGCCATGAGAGACTCCATAAAATGGGAAATTCCTATTGTTATTTTTACCAAATGTTGACATTTTTGTCAACAAAGTATCTGAATAGGTGGATCGATGTATGTCATCTTCGAAAGCTGTTATTTTTATACCCTCCACCATAGTGTGGAGAGTATATTAAGTTTGTCATTCCGTTTGTAACACCTCGAAATTTACATTTTGGACTCCACAAAGTATATATATTCTTGATCAGCATAAAATTCTATGTCGATTTATCAATGTCCGACCGTCTATCCGTCTGTGGAAATAACTCTAGCTTCCGAACAAAATGAAGTAGGTTGATAAAATTTTACCCAAATGTGTATTGTGTCTGCAGGATATTTGGTATTGAAAACGGGCCATGCAGGTCCACGTCTTCGAATAGCCCCCATATATCGATACCTTCCGATATGCGGTATTTTGATTAGTTTAGCAACATTATGTACCGGAATTGTTTCAAAATTAATATTTAAAGTTCGTAATAGATACTGCATCCTAAGACAGAAAATGGGCCATGTAGGTATTCTGTATATTGATGATTTTAGCGACATTATTCACCGGAATTGTTTCGAGTTTGGTATTTGATGTTCGTAACGGACGCTACAGCCTATGACAGAAGATGGTCTGTGCAGGTCCACGTCTTCGTGGTACCTCCCGATATTCGGTATTTTGATGATTTTAGGGACATTATTCACCGGAATTGTTTCAAATTTGGTATTTGAAGTTCGCAATGAATATTACAGCCTACGACAGAAAATTTGTCTGTGCAAGTCCACGTCTTCGTATAGCCCCCATATAAGGGTACCTCCCGATATTCGGTATTTTGATGATTTTAGATACATTATTTACCGGAATTGTTTCAAATTTGGTATTTGACGTTCGTAATGGACGCTGCAGCCTATGACAAGAGATTGTCTGTGTATGTCTACGTCTTCGTACCGTCCCATATAAGCGTACCTCCCGATATTCGGTATTTTGATGATTTTAGATACATTATTTACCGGAATTGTTTCAAATTTGGTATTTGAAGTTCGTAATGGACGCTGCAGCCTATGACAAGAGATTGTCTGTGTATGTCTACGTCTTCGTACCGTCCCATATAAGCGTACCTCCCGATATTCTGTATTTTGATGATTTTAGCAACATTATTCACCGGAATTGCTTCAAATTTGGTATTCGAAGTTCGAAATGAATACTACAGTCTAAGACAGGAAATTGTCTGTGCAGGTCCACGTCTTCGTTAAGCCCCCATATACCTCTCGATATTCGGTATTTTGATGACTTTAGCATTTCGCATTTGAATATTGTAATGGCTTGTGACAAAAGTTAGCTATGCAGGTCCATATCGTCGTATTGCCCCTAATATAACAGCTACATTCGGTGTTTCTAAGATTTTAACGGATTTTATTGTTTTTGAGAATTGCAAATTCGTTCCAAATGCTGGAGGTGTTCGAACTTACAGCTTTTTCACTTCTTTTCTTTTCTAAATTTTGAACTTTTTGTCAACAAAGTATCTGAATAAGGGGATTGATTCAATCTTCGAAAGCTGTTATTTTTGTCATCATGTCTTTATAAAAAGCCAGAAAAAAACCTATTATCATCATCATATTTTCGTCATATTAAAATCTTTAATATGCTTTATTGATCACAGCTTAAAATTTTCAAGGTAAATCCAATTATGGCCATCAAAAACCCAATATTTGTTCATGACCTATATAGCTCGCTGTAGGTGCACTTAAAAATAATTTCCTATACTTGAATTGCGTTCAAGTCATAATATTTCCGGTAAAAGCAAGCGCTTCATTGATTGCTTTTATCAAGTGAAGACTTCAACGAAACTGTTGTTAAATCAAGGCTTTAAATATTTTGGCAACCTGCAATTAACATAATTATCTGCACAATGTAAAAGTAAAAAAAAGCGGCAGCAGTGAATTTCTGGAGCGTAACGGCGAATTCGTCAACACGATTTTTTTAGTTATAAAAGCAAAACCGTAATTGGCATTCAGTTTCAATTTCTTGTCATTCGATGGCGTTAATAGCGTTTGCTAATTGTTAATATTTTCCGTTCTTTATTTTCTCTTGCAGAGTCACGCAAACGTTGAAGTGAAACACTTTTTGGAATAGAAACAAGCAAAAGGCAATTGTCACCCAAGGAACAGACGCAAAATGCAGGCGAAATTTTTAATTTTACTTTTTATATTGACTGTATTGGGGCGAGTGGCTTGGGCCCAGTATGGCCGCGGTGAGGCTCATGTAAATCCCGAAGATACCGGCTATACCCCTGCCAATGCGCGAGATCCCAGCAAGACACTCAAACCGGCCATATTGAGAACGGAACTTAGATTTGGTCGAAATTTGGATCCTGAAAAGGTACGAGTGGTCACTGTCAAGTCGGACAAGGGTGATGATGTGGAATTGTTGGTGGGTAAAAATAGTAGACGGGCTCGTGTGGGACAAACACAAAGTTTCTTTGTACGCTCCTCGGATGTACGCAAGCCCGAGCAGCTGAGATCAGCCAAGAAGTCGAGTAATCCCGAGGACCTGTTGTTGGCCCATTCACCGGCTTTACTAAAGCAGCAGGAATTATCCAATGAAGCCAAAGCCTACCAGCAGCGTAAAGAAGATGCGGAAGCTCGCTTAAAACAATTGGAGCAGTTAAAGCTTATCAAGGCCCAAAGTTGGAGGCAACAGGAAGATATGGTAAATCCATGGTCCTCTAGACCCAGGGCAGCAAGACGTATACGTTTTGAGGATGATACCCCAAATCACACTTTTCAGAATATGGAAAATAGATATTTTCCGCAGCAACAACAACAACAGCAACAATTTTATCAGGCTAGGTCCAACACTCGTCCCTATAGCTATGGAACCCTTGAGAGACCTCATAATTTCTCTTTTCCATCGGAAAAGTCCGTCATTACCTATCAAACTTATCGCCAGGAACAACAACAACCCCAATGGCAACCCATGGAAGTTCGCAATGGCAATTATAGGCAAGCAACCGTTTCCTATACCCCCGAGAGGTCCTACAGCCAACAATCGTCGCCTCGAGACAATTTTGAGCGTAATTCCCGTCATGTGCCTTCAGCTGGTGGCAATGAAAATAATTTCCACGAAGAAAACCGTCAACATAAAGTACCTGTAAATCTGATTACGAAAAAGAATTATGCTCCCGCCAAGAGAACCCATATCCGGGTGCCAGCACCCATTGTTGTTACCTCTTCCACAGCGGTACAGCAAAGTTCGGCGCCTTTACAACAGCCAATGAAACAACAGGAACAATCTCGCCCCCAGCCACCACAGCAACCACAAATTCAATACGATTTTGTGCCCCAGCCAGCGAGACAGCAACAACAACAACCACAACAACAAAAACTACAAAAAAGAGAGCAATATAGTTCCGTACCCCAGGGCCATGCCACCTCGTCAGCCTCTCTGACATTCATAGAATCCGATGAGCCCCCCACCAAGTCCTTTACCCGCTCACCCCAAACATCGGCCACAACTACAGTTGTCGATGGACCCGCAGTCACCGTTATCGAAGGTATACGAGTACCCGATGCTCCCGAAGATAAAGTAAAAACCTGGCGCAATGCTCGAGTGCTCAACAATCAATTGGTGCCATACCCAGAGGGTTATACGCCGCCCAAGGTACAAATTCAAACGTTCGACAGATAGACACAACAATTTAATAGGGCCAGCATGAGAAGTGTCCACACAAAAAAAAATCTTGTCCTTTAGAATTTATTGAAAATTTTTAACTAACACCAGCACATTTTACGCACAAACCGTATGTGTGTATATGTGCCTTCGCTGCGGGAACATGAACTTTTTTTTCAATATTTATTTATTGCCGTTTTCATTGTCCCCATCAATCCAATTAGAATTTATTTAAGCTATTGTTATTTATTTATAAAAAGTTATTTTGCAATTTTGTTTATTTTTAAAAAAAAGTTACTATGTAATTTAAGAATTTAGTTAGTTATAACAAAAAAATAAATAAATAAAATATAAATATTTTATTTTTAGCTTATTTTGAGCAAAGCAAAGGTAAGTTCCCTAGATCCTTATCATTTACCACCTCCATATCTTCACCATAGACACCAATAGTGACATCTATATCAAATTCAGGATTTTACCTTAATTCCTTCACCCAATACCAAAATTTAGTACTTTTCGTACAATTATAGTACATACCCCAATCATACACTCCCACAGAAGTCCCCATTCCAAATATTACGATTCCACCCCTGTTGTTCCGCCAAAATACAAATTGTACATTTTTTTTTTTTTGGAAAATTGAGGTACATATAAGTACGAGTTTCCAAAACTACCATACTCCGACAGCAATCAAACTTAGTACTATTTAATACTTTTCGCACAATTGTAGTATACATATCCAAAACCACCTCCATATTAAAATTCCAAATACCAAAAGAGACCTCAATATCAAATTTCAGGATTCCAGCTATATGTATTCACTCAAGATTTGTTCGAATTGCTCATCTTTGGCAAGAATTATAGCCTTCAAACGGCCAATGATACAGTCACACGCTGCCCGAATGTTGCTCTGTGGTATTTTGGCCCATTCCCGGCGAAGCGCTTGCTTGAGGTGATCGACATTTTGGTATATTTTAGTGCCAACCTTGCTTTCCAAAATACTACAGACACAATAGTCCAACGGATTGGTATCTGGAGATTTTGGTGGCCATTGTGCACTGGAAGTGAAGCGAGGAACCTCATTTTGTAACCATTTTTGGGTGGCGCGTTCTGAGTGCTATGGTGGTGAGTCCTGTTGCAATGACCAAGGTCTGCGGTCAAAATGTTTGCGTGCCCAAGGTTTTAATATACCCTCCAGAATATTTTCGCTATAATATTCGGAATTTATTCTGATGCCACGTTCGATTAATACGAGCGGAGAGCGATCATCAGCTGTTATGGCGGCCCAGACCATCACCATGGCCGGCGCTTGAGTACTAGTTTCAAACCGAAGGTGCACATTTTCAGCTGCCTCTTTGGCAAGTAAACACTATCATTTTGGTTGTTTACAAACTGGTGGACAATGATTTTTTTTCTCATCGGAGAAAACCAAATTCCGCAGTTCACCACTTTTGGCCAAGCGAAGCAACTCTTTAGCACTTTTGAGCCTATGTTCTCTCTGTTACGGTGTAAGTTCTTGCAATTTTTGGACTTTCAACGGCTTTTCACCGAGCTCATTTTTCAATTTTTATCGAATGGAATATTGCGATATGTTCAGCTCACGATCCATTTTTCGGCCACTACGACGCGGATTTCGATAAAGTAGCTTCTTCACTTTTCTATTCATTTCTGCTGATGTTGATGTTTTCTCCCGTCCACTTCCTTGACGTTGGGCTACGCTGTATCACGGTAACGAGCGATGGTACGAGATAGAAAAGATTTATTCACAATATAATGAGCTGTTACTGGAATAATTTTAACAGCTGTCGGACGAGTGGTTAGGAAATGACAGCTGTCTTAAGTTAGTTTGCAGTTTTTTTTATCTCACCCTGTATTCACTTAATACCAAATTTAGTACCATTTAGTGCATTTCTTAAAAATGTAGTAAACATTTCTATAACCACCTCCATATCTTAACCACAGACTCCAACAGTGACATCTATATGAAATTTCGGGATCCAGCGCTATTCATTAACCCAATGCCAAATTTAGGACCATTTAGTACATTTCGAATAATTATAGCACACATTTCCAAAACCACCTCCATATCTTAATCACAGACCCCAACAGTGACATCTATATCAAATTTCAGTTCAATTCCTTCACCTAATACGAAATTTGGTACCATTTAGTACTTTTCGTACGATTAAAGGACACATTTAGTATCATTTAGGCCATTTCGTACAGATATAGTACACATTTCTAACACCCCCTCCTCATCTAACCCTAGACACCATATCAAATTCAGGATTCACCTCAATTCCATCACCTAATACCAAATTTAGTACTTTTCGTACAATTATAGTGTCCATTTCCAAAAACCACCTACATATCTCAATTCCCGATACCAACAGAGACCTCAATGTCAAATTTTGGGCTTCCAGCTCAATCTCTATTTACCTAATACCAAATTTAGTTCTATTTAGTACTTTTTCGTAAAATTGTAGTACACATTTCCAAAATCAGTACCACTCTGGATACCAATCCGACTATTGTGTCTGGGGTATTTTGGAAAGCAAAAAAAAGCTAAAAAATACCAAAGTGTCGATCACCTCAAGCAAGCGCTTCGCCGGGAATGGGCCAAAATACCGCAGAGCAACATTCAGGCAGCGTGTGACAGTTTCATTAGCCGTTTGAACGCCATAATTCCAACAATCCAATTCTTACTTATCTAATCTTATTCTAAAATTTGATGCTATTTCCGACATTTTTGCTTTCATTCAATAAAATTTAAAAAAAATGTAAAAATTATAGCGCTTGACTTTGTTGCAGTTCTTTTTTCTCACGACCCATTATTACGAATTTCCAAAACTACCTGCATATCCCAATCCTACACTCCGACATTAATATTATTTTTAATTTTCAGGAAACCAGCTCTATTGGTTCACCCAAATCCAAAGTGTGCCAAATTTAGTACCATCCTATACTCCATCAGTAGTCTTAGGTCAAAATATCAGGACTCCAGCCTTATGGGTACAACAATATCCAAATTGTACCAAATTTAGTACATATGAGTACAAATTTTCAAAACTACCTACATATCAGGATTTAATACCATTTAGTACACCACTTTTCAGAAACTACCTACATACCTCAGTCCTACAATGCAATAGTAATCTTATTTCCAAATATCAGGATTCCAATCCTACCGGTTGACCCAAAGTTTCAATTGTACCAAATTTTCAAATTCAAATTTCAAAAACTCCCTATATACCTAAGATCTAGAATGCAATAGTAATCTTATTTCCAAGTATCAGAAATCCAATCCTACCGATTGACCCAAAGTTTCAATTGTACCAAATGTTGTACCATTTAGTACACATAAGTACGAGTTTCAAAAAACTCCCTACATACCCCAGTCCTAGAATGCAATAGTAATCTTATTTTTAAATTCCAGAATTTCAGCTATATTGATTCACCCAAATCGAAATTGTACCAAATTTAGTACCATTTAGTACACATAAGCAAAAAAATTCGAAAACTTTATACATATCCCAATCCTACACTCCGCTAGTGATATTCATTTCAAATTTCAGGATTTCAGCTTCAACCGTTCCTCCAAATTCAAAGTGGACTAAATTTAGTACGATTTAGTTATTTTCGTATTAACGAGTACACACTTCCAAATCTACCACCTTATATAGATTTTACTCCACAACCTTAATTACCATTCCAAATTTGATTACCATTTTTTAGCTCTAACCGTCCACATAATACGAAATTTTTTCAATATAGTACATTTTAGAACTTTTCGTACACTTATAGCGCGAATTTCCAAAAACCCCTTGGTACATCTATCATACACTCCATCAGTGACCCTAATTCCAAATTTAAGAGTTCAAACTCCACTGCTTCCTCAAATACAAAGGGTACCGTATTTAGTACCTTTTAATACTTTTCGTACCGCTTTAGTACGCATTTCTAAAAAGCCAGCCTTATTTGACCCCTAAAGGGTCAAAGAGTACCGTATTTAGTACCTTTTAATACTTTTCGTACCGCTTTAGTACGCATTTCTAAAAAGCCAGCCTTATCTGACCCTTCGGACCAAAAGTGACCCTCAGGCAAAATTTAAAGATTCTAGCCTCAGCCGTTTCGTCTGGGCGTTGATGAATCTTTAAATCAGTCAGTCAATTATTTTACCATTTTTATTATATAGATATAGATTTATAGATAGACTTAGATTATGGCGGGTTAAATAATAATATTTACAAAGTTACAAACATAATGACAACAAACTCATTTCATAACAAACTAATTACAACATGGCAACACTGACATTTATTTTAGTTTAGTTCTTTTCTTATTTCGGTCGGTTGTGGTCTATATTGTGCGTGTCCGGGTCTTGTGAATTGTTTTCGGTAGTTTGGTAAATGAATACTTGTGTTTTGTTAATAAAATATAAATTTAACGCGTTAATTAAATTAAATTCATAAAAAAAATCCGTAAATATTGTCAAAATTGTCATAAATTTGTGCAAAAATTATTCTTGTGTATCGTCTTCTTCTCACGAGAGAGTGAATTGCATTTTTGCTTTGTTGTGTCTATGCCGGTAGCAAAGTGTAAACAAACGTCGACGTCAACGTTCGGGATATTTTGCTGTCGCTGTGAAATTAAGTGTTGTTGTGATTAGTTGTGTATAGGAATGTCAAACGTGTAATTTGAAGGTGAGTAACACGATTTTCTTTGTGAATCTTATCTCTGATAGGGCGAGAGCCATGTCTTCTAAAACTATTATTATTATTATCTATGAAGAGACATCCATTGTGTAGGACTTTGCACTTAAAATCTTCGTATTGCATTTTTAAAAGAAAAATCAGTTTTGTGGGACTGATAAGCTAAATAAGAATATTATTTTCTTTAAATTAAGAAAATTATTTCTTTTTAAAGCAAAGGTTTATGAAACACGTCTAAACATGAAGTGCTCCCTCCCAGACCCGTGAAGCTTGTCGTAATTGCGGCGAAATTTGACATACGTCTGTGATCTCCTGGGGGTTTTATTTTTGCATCTTTCTTTTATATTTTGATTCTAAATTTGTCATGATTTTTTGTTTTTCGCGCTTTTGAGCACAAGGTAGAGCTTAAAGACCCTGACACTCGAAAGTCGTCTAGCGTAACTCCCTGTGTCCTGTGTAGGTTCCTTTGCTGTCATCTCCACTGTTTTATCCAGCGCAGATATCTGAAGACCCTGTTACACAATTCTTATACCCTCCACCATAGTATGGAGGGTATATTAAGTCGGTCATTCGGTATCACCACGAAACATACACTTTGGACCCCAACATAAAATTCTATGTCGATTTAGCGATGTCCGTCCGTCTGTCCGTCTGTGGCAAACACTCTAGCTTCGAAATGAACGAAATGAAGTAGGTTGATACGATTTTACTCAAATGTATATAATGTCTGCAGGACTTTTGGTTTTGAAAATGGGCCATGTAGGTCTACGTTTTGGTATAGTCGCCATATAACAGTACCTTTCGATATTCGGTACTTTGATGATTTTAACGACATTATTCACCGGGAATGTTTCAAATTTGGTATTTGAAGTTCGTAATGGATACTACAGCCTATGACAGAGAGTTATCTATGCAGGTCCACCTTTTGATGTAGCCCTCATACAATAGTACCTCTCTATATTCGGTATTTTCAAGATTTTAGTTACATTATTTACCGATTTTTTTTCAAATTTCGCATTTGAATATTGTAAAGGCTTATGACAAAAGTTGGCTATGTAGGTCCACGTCTTCGTATACATACGGCTACGTTCCGTATTTTTAAAATTTGAACGGAATTTTAAACGTCTTTTATTTTTTGAAATTGCCAAATTTGTTCCAAATGGTGGAGGGTATTCAAAGTTCGTCCGGCCAAATTTACAGCTTTTTTTTTTCAAGTTAGATCGTACCGATATATTGGGATCGCTGCAGGTATTTATTCCTCACAACGTTTTTAGCAATATATTACCCATAATTGGTACCTTGAGGACCACAGGATAGTTAAGCCTGACAATTTTTTAAATGCCCCTGTGGACATTTAAAAACCGTCTCATTATTCTACACTGCTCAAAAATATATTCTTCACATAGTATTGATTGATTATTTTCATGAATTGCAAACGGAATCACAAACTTATCTTATGTACCGTACTGTACAGGGAAAACAGAGTCATATCTGAATAATTAAACATGGCAACACTAACATTGATTCCAGTTTAGTTCTCTCCTTACTTCTGTCGGTTGTTGTTTATTTTGTGCGTGTCCGCGTTTTGTGAATTATTTTCGGTAGTTTGTTAAATTAGAATATGTCTTTAGTTAATAAAATACAAATTATATTCGCTAATTAAATGAAATTCAAAGGATATTCTATAAAATTGTAAAAAAATTGCCATAAATTTGTGCTAAAGTTATTCTTGTGTATCATCGTCTCCTTCTCATGAGAGAGTGAATTGCATTTTTCCTTTGATGCCTCTCTGCCGGTAACAAAATGTAAACAAACGTCGACGTCAACGTTCGGGATATTTCGCTGTCGCTGTGGACTCCACAGCGTGGAGTGTTGTTGTGACTGTGTATAGGAATGTGAGCAGTGAAATTTTAAGGTGAGTAACATAATTTGTTTTTGTGAGTCTTGCCTAATAGGACTACCCTGCAAGCATTTGGATGTGAGTTTTTAACTCCATCACCTAATATTACACTACTTTGTCGCTTCCTGCTTGTGAAACGTCGATAGTTGGTCGATTTGCAATAACAATTCTATTGCCCCACTACAGTTAACTAATTTTCATCTCCAATAGTAACTTTTTTGGCACTTCCCGTAGATTAAAGAGCGATTGTTTTGTTTTACTCCCATAAGGGAGAACAAAATTAAACGAGTTCAGTTTGTCGGAGATCGGGATTGGTGCACGAGTGAAAAAAAAACTATTAAATGAAAAAATATATTTAAATTATTAAGTGAAAAAATTGTGCCTTTTTTCAGCATTTTTTAGTGTATGTGTTCAAAAAATTTTTTAAAAATTAAAAAACAAGTGATACACAAAAATAAAAAAATTAATATTAATTAGTGAAAAATAAAATTTAATATTGTGTTAATAACTGAGTTTTACTTATGCTTTTTGTATGCGTTTTACTTATTGTTTAATTACGCTTGAAATTATATTAAAAAAGTTATACAAATAATAATTTTATTTTCAAGACTTCCAGCTCTTTTTTACTTTCTGAAGGCATTGCATATCGCATACAAATCAATAAAGTCACCAACAGTCGATGAAAACCCACGCCCTCAATCAATTAAAGATTCGAGCTTTAACCAAAAAGGTAAACCGTTTGGGAAGAAATGAACCACGCTCTCGTTACTTCCTTAAATTACCTTTATTGTAACGACTGAACGTTACTAAGTCGTCAATTTCATCTGCCACTAAAAAGTCAATGTTAAGAAGTAACTAGTGCGTGGTTCATTTCTTCCCGAACGGTTTAACTTTTTGGTTAAAGATTCGAGATCGCCGGCGAGGGTTTTCATCGCCTGTTGGTGACTTTTTAGTTATGTCAGCGACAAAAAATGCTTGCTGGGTACTGTCATATCTTGCAATATCTGTCCTATTCTTTCTGTATTTGTATGGGAAGTCTAACTATAAAATGTATGCATGCAGATATTTTAATAAGAAAGCAAAAACATCATTGATAATGTAAAATTCATATTTAAAAGGAAAGCATTGTAGTATTTTGTCGAAAGCTTCGAAATTTTACTCAAATGTATATTATGTCTGCAGGAATTTTGGTATTGAAAATGGGTCAAGTAGGTCTACGTTTTGGAATATGTACCTCCATATTTTCGGTATTTTGGTGATTTAAGCGATATTATTCACCGGGAATGTTTCAAACTTGGTATTTGAAGTTCGTAATGGATACTACAGCCTGTGATAGGAAATTGTCTTTGCAGATCCGCATCATCGTATATCCCCCATATAACGGTACATCCCGATATTTGGTATTTTGATGATATTAACGCATTATTAACCGAAATTGTTTCAAATTTGGTATTTGAAGTTCGTAATGGATACTACAGCCTGTGATAGGAAATTTTCTTTGTATAAGCCCTATATAGTGGAACCTTCCGATATTCGGTATTTTGATGATTTTAGCGGCATTATTCACCGGAATTGTTTCAAATTTGGCATTTGGTGTTCGTAATTTATTCTACAGCCTATGACAGAAAATTGTATGTGCAGGTCCACATCTTCGTATAGCTCCCATATAACGGTACCTCCCTTTATTCGTATTTTAATGATTTTAGCTATATTTTTCACCGGAATTGTTTCAAATTTATTATTTGATGTTCATAATGGATGCTGCCGTCTATGACAAAAAATTGTCTGTGCTAGGTCCACGTCTTCGTATAGCCCCCATATAACGGTACCTCCCGGTAATCGGTGTTTTGATGATTTTAGCGACATTATTCACCGAAATTGTTTGAAATTTGGTATTGGAGTTCGCAATGAATACTACAGCCTATGATCAAAACTTGTCTATGCAGGTCCACGTTTTCGTAAAACCCCCACATAATAGTACCTCCCTATATTAATGCTTTTAGCTGTATTATTCACCGATTTTTTTTTTTTCAAGTTTCGCATTTGAATATTGTAATATATTGCAGGTCCACGTCGTCATTTAGACCCTAATATGACGACAACATTTGGTCTTTTTAAGATTTTAACAGAATTTTGAAAGGATTTTATTTTTTGAATATTGCCAAATTCGTTCCAAATAATGGAGGGTATTCAAAGATCAGCTCAGCCAAACTTACAGCTTTTTTACTTTTTTTTTTTTTTGTGGAACATTGGTGAACATTTTTTTGATATACGGTGAAAATCGAGATTTCTTATCTCAGGTAACTTTGTGTAAAATTTCATAAAGAATATTTTAGTCTTTGAGGTCATCCCTCCAAAAAATACTTTGTAAGAGATTTTTGCATAAAATCACTTAAAGTACAGCTTTAAACCTAAAATGCGTTTTTAATATATGTATAGTGAATTCCTGACGTTTAGATAAGATTTTGACGGGTTTTAGGAGCTACAGTAGAGTTTTATGACAAATAATGTTGTAGAATATTTTGACTTCTTATGATCGCATTTAAAAATGATATTAGCTCGAAAATTTCAAAAAATGTGGAGAAAAGAAAAACTTGTTGAAAAATATATTTCGAGTGTGTACCAAATTTATTGAAGAAAAAATTTGATATATCGTATCCCATTTTGTAAATTTTGACATTAAAAAGGTCAATTTTTCATAGAAATCAAATTTGGTTTTCTTTTGGCGGATAAATGAAAAAAACCTAATAAAGATGGGAGATTTTTAAAATATTATTTGAGGTTAGCTTAAGGTTCGCAAGAAGTTATGGAGTTAAAATTTCGGGTGTTATTTAACATTTTGCATTCGCAGTGTGTAGAAATCATTACTACCAGAGATAACGCTAAAATAGCCCACTATATTCCAAATTACGACTTTTTTATATAAATCCTCCATCAAATGAAACCCCAATTTATAGATATATAAATTCCTTATAGTAAAATATATTTTGTTCGATATTCAAGTTTCACAAAGTTCTTAACTTATTAACTTATTTTTTTTTTGCTTGGTGGCAACCAATTTAAAGCTTCATAAACTGATTAACTGTCATTATTTTAAAATCTTTGGCATTCAGTCGAACGCATTCCTTTGCCTCAAATTCCAGATGTAGAACACAACTCGATGAAGTCATCATAAAACCATTTTTCGAAAATTTATAATGTTTAATGTCGGGGTGTTTTTCCAATATTAATTCTATGTAGACAAATATTGCCGGATATTTGGCGTTCAGTGTCAGACTGTAGCTGTTCATTTTGACATTGACTTGGGAACTGCAGAAAACATTGGAAATGAGAATCTGTAAAAAGAAAGAATTTTATTTTATCTTAGTTTCGAAGGGAATGAAATTTGTTGTTGAAAGGCTTACTTGTATCTGAGGATCTTTGATAGCCTGAACACTGCTAAACGAGGCAGGGAAATAAAATGTACGGGCCAATGCCATGTTATTTCGTTGCAGCACAAATTCTACAAAGCTGTTGTAGTTGGTAAACTCTCCCTGAAAGATGTCATCGACGGGTATTACCTTGTCGTAGTGAACGCCATTTGGTACCTGGAATGGAGAAAGGATGTATAATTTACTAGTAAATTCCCGCTATTTCGTGTGCGAAATAATGAATTTATGTTAAGAAATTTTTTTACCCCAAATAAAATTTTTTGAATAATTATCTTCCCCAAATACCAAATCTAATACCATTCAGACCTTTTTTGGTGCAGGGTGAGATAACTTTTGGCAAGAATTATGGCCTTCAAACGGCCAATGAAACTGTCACACGCTGCCCACATGTTGCTCCGCGGTATTTTGGCCCATTTCCGGCGAAGAGCTTGCTTGAGGTGATCGACACTTTGGTATTTTTTAGTGCCAACCTTGCTTTTCAAAATACTTCAGACACAATAGTCTAACGGATTGGTATCCGGAGATTTTGGTAGCCATTGTGCGCTGAAAATGAAGGAACCTCCCTTTGTAATCATCCTTGGGTGGCGCGTGCTGAGTCCTGTTGGAGTGTCCAAGGTCTGCGGCCAAAATGTTTGCGTGCCCAAGGCTTTAATACACTCTCCACAATATTTTTGCGATAATATTCGGCATTTATTTTGATGCCACGGTCTATTACTACGGGCGTAGAGCGACCATCGTCTGTTATGGCGGCCCACACCACACCATCACCATGGCCGGCGCTTGAATTTTGGTGGCCAACCGAAGGTGCACATTTTTAGCTGACCTCTTTGGCTAGTAAACACGATCATTTTGTTTGTTTACAAACTGCTGGACAACGAATGTTTTCTCATCGGAGAAATGCAAATTCGGCAGTTAACCACTTTCGGTCAAGCGAATCAAATCTTTAGCTCTTTTGAGCCTATTTTCTTTCTGTTGCTGTGTAAGTGCTTGCACTTTTTGGAATTTCAATGGCCTTACCCCGAGCCCGTTTTTCAACGAACCATTTTTCGGCGACGCAGGTTTATATCAAGTCGCTACTTTACTTTTCGAACCATTTCTGCTGATGTTCTTGTTTCTTCCGTCCACTTCCTTTACGACTATTTAGTACTCTTTAGATACTAAGAATTCCCAAATCATCTCTCAAACAAATTTCAAGAACTATTCGACTTATAGCAAATTTAGTACCATTTAGTACTTCTCGTATAATTGTAGAACGTATTTCCAAAACCACCTCATGTTTTGAGTTTTTACCTATACCTGTTCTCAGTTCTCCCAAAAATTTGAATTGTACCAAATTTAGTACACATAAGTAAGAATTTCCGAAACTACCTACGTACCTCAGTCCTAAATGCAATACTAATCGGTTCGCCCAAATCGAAATTGTACCAAATTTAGTACCAATTCCAAATTTCAGGATTCCACCCCTATCGGTTCGCTCAAATACATATTGTAGCAAATATGGTACTATTAAGTAAATATCCCAATCCTACATTTCAACAGTCATCCTAATTCCAATTTTAAGGATTCTAGCCCTATCGGTTCGCACAAATCCAATTTGTACTAAATCTGGTACGAATTTCCAAATTTACCACCCCAATCCTACACTCAAAATTTCCGAAACTGCCTCCATACCTCAAGAAATGTTATTTTCAAATTGCAGAATTCCAGCTCTATCGCTTGACCACAATTCCAAGTTGTACAATTTTTAGTACCATTTAGTACACCGAAGTACAAATTTTCAAAAATACCTTCACATCCCAATCCTACACTCCGACGGTAATCTTATTTCCAATTTTCAGGATACCAGGTTCATTGATTCACCCAAATCCAAATTGTACCAAATTTAGTATCATTTAGTACACATAAATACGAATTTCGAAAGCTTCCAAATCCATTAAGTACTACTTTCCAGAACTTTCTACATTCCATAATCTTATAATGCAATATTAATATTATTTTCATGGACTTCAGGACTCCGACTCGATCGGTTCTCCCAAAATTTAAATTGTACCACAGTTAGTACAATTTAGTATACATTAGTACGAATTTCCAAAAAAATACCTAAATTTCTCAGTCCTAAAAGTCCGCTATTGGATCTATTTCTAAAATTCAGAATTTCTACTCTATCGGTTCACCCAAATCGAAATTGTACCAAATTTAGTACAATTTAGTACTTTTCGTGCACATAAATAAAAATTTCGAAAACTTCCCCTGTATTCCAGTCCAACACTCCGCCAGTAATTTTAATTTCAAATTTCAGCATTCCAGCTACATCCGTTCCTGCAAATTCAAATTGTACTAAATTTAGTAGCGTTTAGTACTTTTCGTATACATGAGTTCGCACACAAAACTACCTCCTTACATCGACCCTAATCATCAACCTAGATTTCTTTTCCAGATTTCAAGTTTTTAACCCTAACCATTCACATGATGCGAAATGGTACCAAATATAGTACATTTTAGTAATTTCCGTACGCTCCGTACATCTATCATACTCTTTATCAGTGACCTCATTTTAAATTTCTAGCTCTTCGTCCTCAAATACGAAGGGTACCATATTTAGTACATTTTAATACATTTCGTGCCGTTCTAGTACGAATTTAAAAAAAACCTAACCTTATGTGACCCGTTCGAACCAAGAGTGACCCTCACTCAAAATTTCAAGATGCTAGCTTCAACCGTTTCGTCTGGGCGTTGATGAATCGTTAAGTCAGTCAGGGATGGATCTTTAGTATCTCTGCATTAATTGGTTTAAAGGTGGCGACACATAAGAGGATTTTTATAGACATGAGAAGATTATGTTTAGCAGGACTCAATTATGGAAAGAACTGAAATTTCTAGCCCAAATTTTCGCTACTAAATATTTTATTTTTAATTTTTTTACCAATTTGTCGTATATCCTGAGTTTAAGAATTCGTAGAAATTGAAACACCTTACCATCGTTACAGGCCATGTTGTCGTATTCTTTGGAAACAGTTGAGACCATTTGTAAATATTCATTGAGACCTGCAGGCCGTCGGTATTTATTTCGAATAGATCGCATATCAGAGAGACATTCAGGGATCGAATTTTACTCTCATACAAGGCGGTTATGGCAATGGGCGCCAGAAATTCCTTAGACCAATAGTGCAGCAGCTAAAAAAATAAAATGAATTTAATTTAAAAAAGTAAATAAAGCAAGTAAAAAAACTGTGAGTTCGGCTTGGCCGAACTTTGAATACCCTCCACCATTTGCACAAGCTATTACAATATTCAAATGCGGAACTTGAAAAAAAAATTATTTACAATGTAGGTAAAATCATCAAAATACCGAATATAAGTAGGTAACATGGGGGTTATAAAACGTGGACCTGCACAGACAATTTTCTGTCATAGGCTGTGGTATCCATTACGAACTTCAAATGCGAGATTTGAGACAATTCTGGTAAAAAATGTCGCTTAAATCATTAAAATACCGAATATCGGGAGGTACTGTTATATGGGGGCTATACGAAGACGTGGGCCTGCACAGACAATTTTCTGTCATAGGCTATAGTATTCATTATGAAATTCAAATTTGAAATAGTTCTGGTAAATAATGTCTCAAAAATCATTAAAATACCCAATATCGGGTTATATGGGGGCTATACGAAGATGTGGACCTACATGGCTCATTTTCTGTCTTAGGATGTAGCATCCATTACGAACTTCAAATACCAAAATTGAAACAATTCCGGTAAATAATGTCGCTAAAATCATAAAAATACCGAAAATCGGGTGGTACCGTCATATGGGGGCTATACGAAGACGTGGACCTACATGGCCCATTTTTTGTCTTAAGCCGTAGTATTTATTAAAAACTTTAAATACTAATTTTGATTTTGAAATTCCGTTAAATAATGTCGCTAAAATTATCAAAATACAGAATATCGGTAGATACCGGTATATGGGGGCTATACGAAGACGTAGACCTTCACAAACAATTTTCTGTCATAGGCCGTAGTATTCATTACGAACTTCAAATACCAAATTTGAAACAATTCGGGTGAATAATGTCGCTAAAATCATTAAAATACCGATTATCGGGAGGTACCGTTATATGAGGGCTATACGACTTATGTGGACTATGTGGACTTACATGGCCCATTTTCAATACCAAAAGTCCTGCATACATAATACACATTTGAGTAAAATTTTATCAACCCACTTCATTTCGTTCGGAAGCTAGAGTGATTTTCACAGACAGACAGACGGACGGACCTGGATAAATCGACATAGAATTTTATGCTGATCAAGGGGTCTAAATGTATATTTCGAGGTGTTACAAACGGAATAACAAAGATAATATACCCTCCATACTGTGGTGGAGAGTATAAAAATCTGAACACACCTTATAATTTCCATAGTAATCAATGGCTGACCATGACGGCGCAACCCAGACATCATTCAGCTGCCAATACAATGCACCCATTGTTCGATGTTCGGTATCGCGTAGACTGCGATACAACTCTGTTTCGGTTTTCGTGGCCATAGCCTGTGAGATTTGACTAAAATATACCAAAGCCTCCAAATAATTGGCATCCTCTGGCAGCGGCAGAGGAAAATGAATTCGCACCAAAGGTGTTATGGCCATCATGCCCAGTGGATGATGTTGACGATGTTCTATTAAATCGGCAAGATTATCCTCCGGACCCAGTGTGCGCTGCCATGTCTGCAAGGAGGGTAAACTTTGAAACCCGTATTCCGATGCAAATCTAGGGCGGGGATATATGGAGGGATTCCAACCATCCTTGAAAATGTCATAGAAATGGACTAAAAGAAAAGAGAATTAATAAGGGGAAAAATTCATTATTTTTGTTATTAATATTATTTTTCTTCCGAACTCACCATCTCCATAATTGGGATCTTGAGGATTTGCCGATATATAATTATCTCTCGCCGATTCTTTGCCATTGGATGGTGACGAGACCAAAGGCAATGGTCGTGTTGCATGTTCCAATGCCTTTAGTTCATGTATTACCGTAGCTATATACAATTGCCGATATTCAGTCTTAAAACGTTCCTCCACTGTGCCATACCAATTTTGTGCAATGGCCACCTCATTTTCATTATTTGTCGCAAATATCGCAATACTTGGATGATGGGCAATACGTTGAGCATTTTGTATAACCTCTTTACGTACGGAGGCCAAAAATGAATCTGTAACGGGATACATGGCACACGCAAACATCATATCCTGCCATATCATTATGCCCAACGAATCGGCCATTTCATAGAAATATTCGGACTCATAGATGCCACCACCCCAAACGCGTATCATATTTTGGTGAGTGTCCTTGGCTGCTTGCAGGAGGTGTTTAACTAAAAAATGGAAAATACATATACAGGGTGAGATGAAAAATGCCACTCGTCCGACAGCTGTTAAAATTAAAAAACATGGACAGACGCACGGATGGATTGACATCCATAAATCGACTCAGAATTTTATTCTATGCAGATCATCAAAAGGAAATATAGGTATAACTCGCTTGCTTGGTTTTTATTCGTTTATAGTTGTTTCTGCTGCAGCTACCTAATAACCGCTAACGATTATTTTGTACAGTACATTTTGTATAACGCCTAAAAGTATGCTCTAGTTGCAGTCTTATTGTTATGGGTGATGTGTTATAAAGTAGAGATGTTGATGGTTTATTCAAAATGACATACGCCAAACTTTAAGATGTTACCTCACACGACACTGTGGTGCAGGGTATTTTTATACCCTCCACCTTGGAAAGGAGGGCATATTAACTTTGTCATTCCGTTTGTATCATGTCTAAATATTCGTCGTAGACCCCATAATGTATATATATTCATAATCAGCATAAAATTCGATTAAAATATGTCCGTCTGTCTGTTGAAATCACGATACCGGCCACATTATTTAACGTAGAGCGTGAAAATTAAACGGAATAATTTGTATTGTGCCTAGGATGGTTGGTTTGAAAATGAGGTATATCCGTCCACGTTTTGGTATAGTCCCCATATAACGGTACCTCCCGATATTCGGATTTGTCTGAGTAATGGTATTTGTAGGTCATAATGGGTCCTAGTTCGTGTGGCGAAACATTGTATGTATAGGTCCACACTTTGGTATATCTCCCGATATTCGGTATTTTGATGGTTTTTGTCACATTTTTTCACGGATTTGTCTAAAAATTGGAATTTGTTGGTCATAATAGGTTCTAGCTCCGTTGGCGAAACATTGTACGTATATATAGCGGTACCTCCCGATATTCGGTATTTTGATGATTTTTGCCACATTTTCCCACGAATGTGTCTAAAAATCGGTATTTGTGGGTCATAATTGGTTCTAATGTTTCCATTACCCTAAGGTGGACGATATTAAAAGTTCGGCCCAGCCGAACTTAATGTTTTTTACTTGTTTTTGTGTGCATTTTTTTCTAAAATTCAGAAAGAAAATAAGTCGAGTTCTGTGAAAATTGCTATAGTTCCGATATATACAGGGTGGGATGAAAAAACTGCAACCAACCTCAGACTGTTGTCACTTCTAAGCCACTCGTCCGACAGCTGTTAAAATTATTTCAATGACAGCTCATTATATTGTTTACTAGCGTACAAAAGCATTTTGGTGAGAATTTTCCAGAAAAAAGTCAGTCGTGATGGATTTCAAGCGTGATGGTGTGATTTCTTTCTATTCGGCTGGAAAACCACAAGTGGCTATCGTTAGAGCACTCCAGCATTTAAATGTGAATAAATCTCTTATCATCGTACCATGTCTCGGTAGCGTAGCCCGACGTTAAGGAAGTGGATGGGAGAAAACAGCAACATTAGCAGAAATGGTTCGAAGAGTAAAGGAGCGACTTGATTGAAACCCACGTCGCAGTGGCCGAAAAATGGCTCATGAGTTGAACATACCGCAATATTCCATTCGGCAAATATTGAAAAATGAGCTCGAGGTAAAGCCATTGAAATTCCAAAAAGTGCAAGAACTTACACCGCAACGGAAAGAAAATGGACTCAAAAGAGCTAAAGAGTTGCTTCGCTTGGTCGAAAGTGGTGAACTGCCGAATTTGGTTTTCTCCGATGAGAAAACATTCGTTGTCAAGCACTTTGTAAACAAACAAAATGTTCGTGTTTACTTGGTCAGAAGAGGTCAGCTGAAAATGTGCACTTTCGGTTGGCCAACATAACTCAAGCGCCGGCCATGGTGATGATAGCAGCCGATGGTTTCTCTCCGCTCGTATTAATCAGAATAAATGCCGAATATTATCACGAAAATATTCTGGAGGGTGTACTAAAGGCTGGGGCACGCCAACATTTTGGCCGCAGACCTTGGTCATTCCAACAGGACTCAGCACCATTGCACTCAACACGAGCCACCCAAGAATGGTTACAAAATGAGGTACCTCGCTTCATTTCCAGCGCACAATGGCCACCAAAATATCCGGATACCAACCCGTTGGACTATTGTGTCTGGAGTATTTTGGAAAGCAAGGTTGGCTCTAAAAACCAAATACCAAAGTGTCGATCACCTCAAGCAAGCGCTTTGCCGGGAATGGGCCAAAATACCGCAGAGCAACATTCGGGCAGCGTGTGACGGTTTCATTGGCCGTTTGAAGTCCATAATTCGTCCCAAAGTTCACCAATTCAAACAAGACTAAACTTATTCTAAAATTTGATGCTATTTCCGACATTTCTTGCTTTCATTCAATAAAATTTAAAAAAAAAAATGTAAAAATTATGGTGTTGGCGTATTAGTAAGGTAAACCGTTTGGGAAGAAATGAACCACGCTCTCGTTACTTCCTTAAATTACCTTTATTGTAACGACTGAACGTTACTAAGTCGTCAATTTCATCTGCCACTAAAAAGTCAATGTTAAGAAGTAACTAGTGCGTGGTTCATTTCTTCCCGAACGGTTTAACTTTTTGGTTAAAGATTCGAGATCGCCGGCGAGGGTTTTCATCGCCTGTTGGTGACTTTTTAGTTATGTCAGCGACAAAAAATGCTTGCTGGGTACTGTCATATCTTGCAATATCTGTCCTATTCTTTCTGTATTTGTATGGGAAGTCTAACTATAAAATGTATGCATGCAGATATTTTAATAAGAAAGCAAAAACATCATTGATAATGTAAAATTCATATTTAAAAGGAAAGCATTGTAGTATTTTGTCGAAAGCTTCGAAATTTTACTCAAATGTATATTATGTCTGCAGGAATTTTGGTATTGAAAATGGGTCAAGTAGGTCTACGTTTTGGAATATGTACCTCCATATTTTCGGTATTTTGGTGATTTAAGCGATATTATTCACCGGGAATGTTTCAAACTTGGTATTTGAAGTTCGTAATGGATACTACAGCCTGTGATAGGAAATTGTCTTTGCAGATCCGCATCATCGTATATCCCCCATATAACGGTACATCCCGATATTTGGTATTTTGATGATATTAACGCATTATTAACCGAAATTGTTTCAAATTTGGTATTTGAAGTTCGTAATGGATACTACAGCCTGTGATAGGAAATTTTCTTTGTATAAGCCCTATATAGTGGAACCTTCCGATATTCGGTATTTTGATGATTTTAGCGGCATTATTCACCGGAATTGTTTCAAATTTGGCATTTGGTGTTCGTAATTTATTCTACAGCCTATGACAGAAAATTGTATGTGCAGGTCCACATCTTCGTATAGCTCCCATATAACGGTACCTCCCTTTATTCGTATTTTAATGATTTTAGCTATATTTTTCACCGGAATTGTTTCAAATTTATTATTTGATGTTCATAATGGATGCTGCCGTCTATGACAAAAAATTGTCTGTGCTAGGTCCACGTCTTCGTATAGCCCCCATATAACGGTACCTCCCGGTAATCGGTGTTTTGATGATTTTAGCGACATTATTCACCGAAATTGTTTGAAATTTGGTATTGGAGTTCGCAATGAATACTACAGCCTATGATCAAAACTTGTCTATGCAGGTCCACGTTTTCGTAAAACCCCCACATAATAGTACCTCCCTATATTAATGCTTTTAGCTGTATTATTCACCGATTTTTTTTTTTTCAAGTTTCGCATTTGAATATTGTAATATATTGCAGGTCCACGTCGTCATTTAGACCCTAATATGACGACAACATTTGGTCTTTTTAAGATTTTAACAGAATTTTGAAAGGATTTTATTTTTTGAATATTGCCAAATTCGTTCCAAATAATGGAGGGTATTCAAAGATCAGCTCAGCCAAACTTACAGCTTTTTTACTTTTTTTTTTTTTTGTGGAACATTGGTGAACATTTTTTTGATATACGGTGAAAATCGAGATTTCTTATCTCAGGTAACTTTGTGTAAAATTTCATAAAGAATATTTTAGTCTTTGAGGTCATCCCTCCAAAAAATACTTTGTAAGAGATTTTTGCATAAAATCACTTAAAGTACAGCTTTAAACCTAAAATGCGTTTTTAATATATGTATAGTGAATTCCTGACGTTTAGATAAGATTTTGACGGGTTTTAGGAGCTACAGTAGAGTTTTATGACAAATAATGTTGTAGAATATTTTGACTTCTTATGATCGCATTTAAAAATGATATTAGCTCGAAAATTTCAAAAAATGTGGAGAAAAGAAAAACTTGTTGAAAAATATATTTCGAGTGTGTACCAAATTTATTGAAGAAAAAATTTGATATATCGTATCCCATTTTGTAAATTTTGACATTAAAAAGGTCAATTTTTCATAGAAATCAAATTTGGTTTTCTTTTGGCGGATAAATGAAAAAAACCTAATAAAGATGGGAGATTTTTAAAATATTATTTGAGGTTAGCTTAAGGTTCGCAAGAAGTTATGGAGTTAAAATTTCGGGTGTTATTTAACATTTTGCATTCGCAGTGTGTAGAAATCATTACTACCAGAGATAACGCTAAAATAGCCCACTATATTCCAAATTACGACTTTTTTATATAAATCCTCCATCAAATGAAACCCCAATTTATAGATATATAAATTCCTTATAGTAAAATATATTTTGTTCGATATTCAAGTTTCACAAAGTTCTTAACTTATTAACTTATTTTTTTTTTGCTTGGTGGCAACCAATTTAAAGCTTCATAAACTGATTAACTGTCATTATTTTAAAATCTTTGGCATTCAGTCGAACGCATTCCTTTGCCTCAAATTCCAGATGTAGAACACAACTCGATGAAGTCATCATAAAACCATTTTTCGAAAATTTATAATGTTTAATGTCGGGGTGTTTTTCCAATATTAATTCTATGTAGACAAATATTGCCGGATATTTGGCGTTCAGTGTCAGACTGTAGCTGTTCATTTTGACATTGACTTGGGAACTGCAGAAAACATTGGAAATGAGAATCTGTAAAAAGAAAGAATTTTATTTTATCTTAGTTTCGAAGGGAATGAAATTTGTTGTTGAAAGGCTTACTTGTATCTGAGGATCTTTGATAGCCTGAACACTGCTAAACGAGGCAGGGAAATAAAATGTACGGGCCAATGCCATGTTATTTCGTTGCAGCACAAATTCTACAAAGCTGTTGTAGTTGGTAAACTCTCCCTGAAAGATGTCATCGACGGGTATTACCTTGTCGTAGTGAACGCCATTTGGTACCTGGAATGGAGAAAGGATGTATAATTTACTAGTAAATTCCCGCTATTTCGTGTGCGAAATAATGAATTTATGTTAAGAAATTTTTTTACCCCAAATAAAATTTTTTGAATAATTATCTTCCCCAAATACCAAATCTAATACCATTCAGACCTTTTTTGGTGCAGGGTGAGATAACTTTTGGCAAGAATTATGGCCTTCAAACGGCCAATGAAACTGTCACACGCTGCCCACATGTTGCTCCGCGGTATTTTGGCCCATTTCCGGCGAAGAGCTTGCTTGAGGTGATCGACACTTTGGTATTTTTTAGTGCCAACCTTGCTTTTCAAAATACTTCAGACACAATAGTCTAACGGATTGGTATCCGGAGATTTTGGTAGCCATTGTGCGCTGAAAATGAAGGAACCTCCCTTTGTAATCATCCTTGGGTGGCGCGTGCTGAGTCCTGTTGGAGTGTCCAAGGTCTGCGGCCAAAATGTTTGCGTGCCCAAGGCTTTAATACACTCTCCACAATATTTTTGCGATAATATTCGGCATTTATTTTGATGCCACGGTCTATTACTACGGGCGTAGAGCGACCATCGTCTGTTATGGCGGCCCACACCACACCATCACCATGGCCGGCGCTTGAATTTTGGTGGCCAACCGAAGGTGCACATTTTTAGCTGACCTCTTTGGCTAGTAAACACGATCATTTTGTTTGTTTACAAACTGCTGGACAACGAATGTTTTCTCATCGGAGAAATGCAAATTCGGCAGTTAACCACTTTCGGTCAAGCGAATCAAATCTTTAGCTCTTTTGAGCCTATTTTCTTTCTGTTGCTGTGTAAGTGCTTGCACTTTTTGGAATTTCAATGGCCTTACCCCGAGCCCGTTTTTCAACGAACCATTTTTCGGCGACGCAGGTTTATATCAAGTCGCTACTTTACTTTTCGAACCATTTCTGCTGATGTTCTTGTTTCTTCCGTCCACTTCCTTTACGACTATTTAGTACTCTTTAGATACTAAGAATTCCCAAATCATCTCTCAAACAAATTTCAAGAACTATTCGACTTATAGCAAATTTAGTACCATTTAGTACTTCTCGTATAATTGTAGAACGTATTTCCAAAACCACCTCATGTTTTGAGTTTTTACCTATACCTGTTCTCAGTTCTCCCAAAAATTTGAATTGTACCAAATTTAGTACACATAAGTAAGAATTTCCGAAACTACCTACGTACCTCAGTCCTAAATGCAATACTAATCGGTTCGCCCAAATCGAAATTGTACCAAATTTAGTACCAATTCCAAATTTCAGGATTCCACCCCTATCGGTTCGCTCAAATACATATTGTAGCAAATATGGTACTATTAAGTAAATATCCCAATCCTACATTTCAACAGTCATCCTAATTCCAATTTTAAGGATTCTAGCCCTATCGGTTCGCACAAATCCAATTTGTACTAAATCTGGTACGAATTTCCAAATTTACCACCCCAATCCTACACTCAAAATTTCCGAAACTGCCTCCATACCTCAAGAAATGTTATTTTCAAATTGCAGAATTCCAGCTCTATCGCTTGACCACAATTCCAAGTTGTACAATTTTTAGTACCATTTAGTACACCGAAGTACAAATTTTCAAAAATACCTTCACATCCCAATCCTACACTCCGACGGTAATCTTATTTCCAATTTTCAGGATACCAGGTTCATTGATTCACCCAAATCCAAATTGTACCAAATTTAGTATCATTTAGTACACATAAATACGAATTTCGAAAGCTTCCAAATCCATTAAGTACTACTTTCCAGAACTTTCTACATTCCATAATCTTATAATGCAATATTAATATTATTTTCATGGACTTCAGGACTCCGACTCGATCGGTTCTCCCAAAATTTAAATTGTACCACAGTTAGTACAATTTAGTATACATTAGTACGAATTTCCAAAAAAATACCTAAATTTCTCAGTCCTAAAAGTCCGCTATTGGATCTATTTCTAAAATTCAGAATTTCTACTCTATCGGTTCACCCAAATCGAAATTGTACCAAATTTAGTACAATTTAGTACTTTTCGTGCACATAAATAAAAATTTCGAAAACTTCCCCTGTATTCCAGTCCAACACTCCGCCAGTAATTTTAATTTCAAATTTCAGCATTCCAGCTACATCCGTTCCTGCAAATTCAAATTGTACTAAATTTAGTAGCGTTTAGTACTTTTCGTATACATGAGTTCGCACACAAAACTACCTCCTTACATCGACCCTAATCATCAACCTAGATTTCTTTTCCAGATTTCAAGTTTTTAACCCTAACCATTCACATGATGCGAAATGGTACCAAATATAGTACATTTTAGTAATTTCCGTACGCTCCGTACATCTATCATACTCTTTATCAGTGACCTCATTTTAAATTTCTAGCTCTTCGTCCTCAAATACGAAGGGTACCATATTTAGTACATTTTAATACATTTCGTGCCGTTCTAGTACGAATTTAAAAAAAACCTAACCTTATGTGACCCGTTCGAACCAAGAGTGACCCTCACTCAAAATTTCAAGATGCTAGCTTCAACCGTTTCGTCTGGGCGTTGATGAATCGTTAAGTCAGTCAGGGATGGATCTTTAGTATCTCTGCATTAATTGGTTTAAAGGTGGCGACACATAAGAGGATTTTTATAGACATGAGAAGATTATGTTTAGCAGGACTCAATTATGGAAAGAACTGAAATTTCTAGCCCAAATTTTCGCTACTAAATATTTTATTTTTAATTTTTTTACCAATTTGTCGTATATCCTGAGTTTAAGAATTCGTAGAAATTGAAACACCTTACCATCGTTACAGGCCATGTTGTCGTATTCTTTGGAAACAGTTGAGACCATTTGTAAATATTCATTGAGACCTGCAGGCCGTCGGTATTTATTTCGAATAGATCGCATATCAGAGAGACATTCAGGGATCGAATTTTACTCTCATACAAGGCGGTTATGGCAATGGGCGCCAGAAATTCCTTAGACCAATAGTGCAGCAGCTAAAAAAATAAAATGAATTTAATTTAAAAAAGTAAATAAAGCAAGTAAAAAAACTGTGAGTTCGGCTTGGCCGAACTTTGAATACCCTCCACCATTTGCACAAGCTATTACAATATTCAAATGCGGAACTTGAAAAAAAAATTATTTACAATGTAGGTAAAATCATCAAAATACCGAATATAAGTAGGTAACATGGGGGTTATAAAACGTGGACCTGCACAGACAATTTTCTGTCATAGGCTGTGGTATCCATTACGAACTTCAAATGCGAGATTTGAGACAATTCTGGTAAAAAATGTCGCTTAAATCATTAAAATACCGAATATCGGGAGGTACTGTTATATGGGGGCTATACGAAGACGTGGGCCTGCACAGACAATTTTCTGTCATAGGCTATAGTATTCATTATGAAATTCAAATTTGAAATAGTTCTGGTAAATAATGTCTCAAAAATCATTAAAATACCCAATATCGGGTTATATGGGGGCTATACGAAGATGTGGACCTACATGGCTCATTTTCTGTCTTAGGATGTAGCATCCATTACGAACTTCAAATACCAAAATTGAAACAATTCCGGTAAATAATGTCGCTAAAATCATAAAAATACCGAAAATCGGGTGGTACCGTCATATGGGGGCTATACGAAGACGTGGACCTACATGGCCCATTTTTTGTCTTAAGCCGTAGTATTTATTAAAAACTTTAAATACTAATTTTGATTTTGAAATTCCGTTAAATAATGTCGCTAAAATTATCAAAATACAGAATATCGGTAGATACCGGTATATGGGGGCTATACGAAGACGTAGACCTTCACAAACAATTTTCTGTCATAGGCCGTAGTATTCATTACGAACTTCAAATACCAAATTTGAAACAATTCGGGTGAATAATGTCGCTAAAATCATTAAAATACCGATTATCGGGAGGTACCGTTATATGAGGGCTATACGACTTATGTGGACTATGTGGACTTACATGGCCCATTTTCAATACCAAAAGTCCTGCATACATAATACACATTTGAGTAAAATTTTATCAACCCACTTCATTTCGTTCGGAAGCTAGAGTGATTTTCACAGACAGACAGACGGACGGACCTGGATAAATCGACATAGAATTTTATGCTGATCAAGGGGTCTAAATGTATATTTCGAGGTGTTACAAACGGAATAACAAAGATAATATACCCTCCATACTGTGGTGGAGAGTATAAAAATCTGAACACACCTTATAATTTCCATAGTAATCAATGGCTGACCATGACGGCGCAACCCAGACATCATTCAGCTGCCAATACAATGCACCCATTGTTCGATGTTCGGTATCGCGTAGACTGCGATACAACTCTGTTTCGGTTTTCGTGGCCATAGCCTGTGAGATTTGACTAAAATATACCAAAGCCTCCAAATAATTGGCATCCTCTGGCAGCGGCAGAGGAAAATGAATTCGCACCAAAGGTGTTATGGCCATCATGCCCAGTGGATGATGTTGACGATGTTCTATTAAATCGGCAAGATTATCCTCCGGACCCAGTGTGCGCTGCCATGTCTGCAAGGAGGGTAAACTTTGAAACCCGTATTCCGATGCAAATCTAGGGCGGGGATATATGGAGGGATTCCAACCATCCTTGAAAATGTCATAGAAATGGACTAAAAGAAAAGAGAATTAATAAGGGGAAAAATTCATTATTTTTGTTATTAATATTATTTTTCTTCCGAACTCACCATCTCCATAATTGGGATCTTGAGGATTTGCCGATATATAATTATCTCTCGCCGATTCTTTGCCATTGGATGGTGACGAGACCAAAGGCAATGGTCGTGTTGCATGTTCCAATGCCTTTAGTTCATGTATTACCGTAGCTATATACAATTGCCGATATTCAGTCTTAAAACGTTCCTCCACTGTGCCATACCAATTTTGTGCAATGGCCACCTCATTTTCATTATTTGTCGCAAATATCGCAATACTTGGATGATGGGCAATACGTTGAGCATTTTGTATAACCTCTTTACGTACGGAGGCCAAAAATGAATCTGTAACGGGATACATGGCACACGCAAACATCATATCCTGCCATATCATTATGCCCAACGAATCGGCCATTTCATAGAAATATTCGGACTCATAGATGCCACCACCCCAAACGCGTATCATATTTTGGTGAGTGTCCTTGGCTGCTTGCAGGAGGTGTTTAACTAAAAAATGGAAAATACATATACAGGGTGAGATGAAAAATGCCACTCGTCCGACAGCTGTTAAAATTAAAAAACATGGACAGACGCACGGATGGATTGACATCCATAAATCGACTCAGAATTTTATTCTATGCAGATCATCAAAAGGAAATATAGGTATAACTCGCTTGCTTGGTTTTTATTCGTTTATAGTTGTTTCTGCTGCAGCTACCTAATAACCGCTAACGATTATTTTGTACAGTACATTTTGTATAACGCCTAAAAGTATGCTCTAGTTGCAGTCTTATTGTTATGGGTGATGTGTTATAAAGTAGAGATGTTGATGGTTTATTCAAAATGACATACGCCAAACTTTAAGATGTTACCTCACACGACACTGTGGTGCAGGGTATTTTTATACCCTCCACCTTGGAAAGGAGGGCATATTAACTTTGTCATTCCGTTTGTATCATGTCTAAATATTCGTCGTAGACCCCATAATGTATATATATTCATAATCAGCATAAAATTCGATTAAAATATGTCCGTCTGTCTGTTGAAATCACGATACCGGCCACATTATTTAACGTAGAGCGTGAAAATTAAACGGAATAATTTGTATTGTGCCTAGGATGGTTGGTTTGAAAATGAGGTATATCCGTCCACGTTTTGGTATAGTCCCCATATAACGGTACCTCCCGATATTCGGATTTGTCTGAGTAATGGTATTTGTAGGTCATAATGGGTCCTAGTTCGTGTGGCGAAACATTGTATGTATAGGTCCACACTTTGGTATATCTCCCGATATTCGGTATTTTGATGGTTTTTGTCACATTTTTTCACGGATTTGTCTAAAAATTGGAATTTGTTGGTCATAATAGGTTCTAGCTCCGTTGGCGAAACATTGTACGTATATATAGCGGTACCTCCCGATATTCGGTATTTTGATGATTTTTGCCACATTTTCCCACGAATGTGTCTAAAAATCGGTATTTGTGGGTCATAATTGGTTCTAATGTTTCCATTACCCTAAGGTGGACGATATTAAAAGTTCGGCCCAGCCGAACTTAATGTTTTTTACTTGTTTTTGTGTGCATTTTTTTCTAAAATTCAGAAAGAAAATAAGTCGAGTTCTGTGAAAATTGCTATAGTTCCGATATATACAGGGTGGGATGAAAAAACTGCAACCAACCTCAGACTGTTGTCACTTCTAAGCCACTCGTCCGACAGCTGTTAAAATTATTTCAATGACAGCTCATTATATTGTTTACTAGCGTACAAAAGCATTTTGGTGAGAATTTTCCAGAAAAAAGTCAGTCGTGATGGATTTCAAGCGTGATGGTGTGATTTCTTTCTATTCGGCTGGAAAACCACAAGTGGCTATCGTTAGAGCACTCCAGCATTTAAATGTGAATAAATCTCTTATCATCGTACCATGTCTCGGTAGCGTAGCCCGACGTTAAGGAAGTGGATGGGAGAAAACAGCAACATTAGCAGAAATGGTTCGAAGAGTAAAGGAGCGACTTGATTGAAACCCACGTCGCAGTGGCCGAAAAATGGCTCATGAGTTGAACATACCGCAATATTCCATTCGGCAAATATTGAAAAATGAGCTCGAGGTAAAGCCATTGAAATTCCAAAAAGTGCAAGAACTTACACCGCAACGGAAAGAAAATGGACTCAAAAGAGCTAAAGAGTTGCTTCGCTTGGTCGAAAGTGGTGAACTGCCGAATTTGGTTTTCTCCGATGAGAAAACATTCGTTGTCAAGCACTTTGTAAACAAACAAAATGTTCGTGTTTACTTGGTCAGAAGAGGTCAGCTGAAAATGTGCACTTTCGGTTGGCCAACATAACTCAAGCGCCGGCCATGGTGATGATAGCAGCCGATGGTTTCTCTCCGCTCGTATTAATCAGAATAAATGCCGAATATTATCACGAAAATATTCTGGAGGGTGTACTAAAGGCTGGGGCACGCCAACATTTTGGCCGCAGACCTTGGTCATTCCAACAGGACTCAGCACCATTGCACTCAACACGAGCCACCCAAGAATGGTTACAAAATGAGGTACCTCGCTTCATTTCCAGCGCACAATGGCCACCAAAATATCCGGATACCAACCCGTTGGACTATTGTGTCTGGAGTATTTTGGAAAGCAAGGTTGGCTCTAAAAACCAAATACCAAAGTGTCGATCACCTCAAGCAAGCGCTTTGCCGGGAATGGGCCGAAATACCGCAGAGCAACATTCGGGCAGCGTGTGACGGTTTCATTGGCCGTTTGAAGTCCATAATTCGTCCCAAAGTTCACCAATTCAAACAAGACTAAACTTATTCTAAAATTTGATGCTATTTCCGACATTTCTTGCTTTCATTCAATAAAATTTAAAAAAAAAAATGTAAAAATTATGGTGTTGGCGTATTAGTGGTAAGGGTATTATGTCTTTGTGCATTTGTTTGTAACATGGAGAAGGAAGCGAGATAGACACATAGTTACTTTTGAGGATCTCCATAGAATCACCTTCTGAGTTGATTTATGCATGTCAGTCTGTCCATGTATTTTTTTGTGAACAAAATGCATGTCGCATTTTTTATCCGATTGAAATGAAATTTTCCAAACAACATTTGTTTGGCCCAAGGACGAACCCTATTGAAATTGGAGATAATCGGTGAAAATTTAGATATATCTTCGTCCGCTTTGCCTTTTATTGTGTAATATCAGCCCGTATAGTATGGAATTTTGCACATACAACCAAATTAGGCCTGAATAATAAGTATGCCAAAATTTGATCGAAATCGGTTCAGATATAGCTATAGCTCCCATATATATTGTTCATCCGATTTGCTTTTTTTTGTCCTCCGCAGCCGTAATATGCACTCTGTAACAACAATATTTGGGGAAATATAGTAAATACAGCTCAGAAATACATTTGCGAAATTTTATCGAAATCTGTTCAGATTTGGATATATCTCCCATATATAACTTCGTCCGATTTAGATTTTATTGTATACCAAACGTCTAATATTTGTCCAAATGGGATGGAGTTTGGCACTTACGATCGAATTGAGTCTAGATGCTAGTATGTAAAATTTGGTGAAGATCGATTTAGATATAGCTATAGCTCCCATATATATTGTTCATCCGATTTGTTGTATTTGTTACCCACAGCCGTAATATGCACTCCGTAACAACGATATTCAGGAAAATATATGAAATACAGCTCAGAAATATTTTTGCCAAATTTTATCAAAATCGGTTCAGATTTGTATATAGCTCCCATATACATCTTTACCAAATTTCAAATTAATTTTCACCAAATGGGCAATACAATTCCGAATTAAAAAGATACAAATGCTTCGGCATATTTAGTCCTTTGAACTTTAAATTATAATTATAATCCTCGCGTGTATGTTTGAATTCTCCCATAAAAAAAAATTTTAATTGTTATGTGGAGCTCATCTAAATTAGCAAAGTGGTGTAGGGTATCATAAAGTCGGCCCGCCCAACTTTAGGACTTTCTTTACTGGTTTTTTATCTCACCCTGTAATTTAGTACCAAGTTTGAATCAGATCGATGGGAGAGGAGTACTCCAATTATTGTGTAGACGAAAATATTTCACCAGATTGACTCTAAGTCCTACATCGAATTGCTTTTGCAGTGATATGGGATGTAAAATCGTTATTTCTTTGAAGCTTATTTTAGCCGTATAAAACAATGCATACCCTCTGCATCCCTTAGGTTTAAGAAATGAACATTCAGATTTAAAATGCAGCAGTGCACTGAAATACAAATTCTCAAATGCCAACCTGAACAGGTGCCATAAAGAATTGATTTGTTCAGCAAGAACAAAAATGCAGGTAATCCTCCGAAATTGTGTCACACCAAAGTTATAAGGGCCGAAAAAATATTTAAGTTTTGAACATTTCCCCCCCCCTATAACCCTATCGCATCGTCGTTATTATTTCAAACTTATTTCGGGATTACATCGTTGATTTCGTCATTAATCAAATAAGGCTCCGCCTATAAATAATGCAATTTGATGACAATTTAATTCAATTCGTTTTCATTGAAAATGTGACAAGTGTTTTGGCCATAAAACTTCACTCGTAACAAGGTTCTGATAACACAATACGCTCCCCTCTTGCACAAATGTTTGCGTATAAATGAATAATAATACAAATACATTTGATTATGTTACGTGTGTTTTTTTAAGACCTTGCACTTGCCGGTTCTTTTTTCTGCACCACAAAATATAGATCTAACTGTCATAAATATTGACATATGTTGTTGTTAATTACTTACTTCTTGTTTTATCGCGACTAAATTCCGGCAATATATGACTTGGTATATAGTTGCTGCCTTTCATGAAGATCTCCTTGTCATTGACTTTGAAGAGAAACGTATTGCCGCTACCTAAAAGAGAATAGAAGTAGGAGTAGAAATAGAAAAAATGAAATGGTTAAGTTTACAAAAAAGAAAGAAGATAAGAAAATGTTATACTATTCTGAGATATCGGTAAATATCGTATATTATTTGTATGCCACAATAAAGTACAATATAACATTACTGTGGCATAAAACATTTATCAATTGAATTTTAATTAATTAAATGTTTATAATCTATATTAATAGCAGAGTAAGGTAATAGACTGAGTGACTGACTGACTTAACGATTCATCAATGCCCAGACGAGACGGCTGAAGCTAGAATCTTAAAATTTTGGGTGAGGGTCACTCTTGGTCCGATGGGGTCAGGTAAGGCTGGATTTTTGGAAATTCGTTCTAGAACGGTACGAAAAGGTAGTGAAAGGTACTAAATACAGTGTCCATTGTATTGGAGGAAGCAGTAGAGCCAGAACTCTTAAATTGAGAATGAGGGTCACTGATGGAGTGTATGATAGATGTACCAAAGGGGTCTTGAAAATTCGTATTATAAGTGTACGAAAAGTACTAAAATTTGATACCATTTCGTATCATATGAAAGGTTAGATCTAAAAAATTTATATTTGGAATGGGAATGGGAATCAAGGTTGAGGAGAAGAATCAATGTAAGGAGGTAGTTTTAAAAATGCGACCTCATGTACACGAAAAGTACTAAACGGTACTAAATTTAGTACATTTTGAATTTGGAGGAACGGATGGAGCTGGAATCCTGAAATTTGCGAATCCTGTAGGATTTGAATATAAAGATAGTTTTGAAATGTGCACCTATGTGCACGAAAAGTACTTTGGTGCAATTAAGATTGCGCAAACCGATAGAGCTGGAATTCTGTAATGCATTCTAGGACAGAGGAATGTAGGTAGTTTTGGAAATTCGTACTTATGTGCACAAAATAGTAATTTTGTAAAATGTCAATTTTGGGAGAACCAATAGAGTTGGAATGCTGAAATGAGAATTATTGGACTATGTGACGTAGGTAGTTATGAAAATTAGTATTTAAATGTACTAAATTGTTCTACATTTGGATTTGTGTGAACCAATACAGCTGGAATTCTAAAAATTGGAATTAAAATTACTGTTGGAGTGTAGGATTAAGTTAGGTAGGAACCTATGGAAATTCGTACTTATATGTACTAAATGGTCCTAAATTTGATACACATTGGAATTGTGATGAATCGATGGAGCTGGAATTCTCAAATTTGGAATGAGAGTCGCTGATATAGTGCAGGATAGATACGCCAATGGGTTATTGGAAATTCGAACTTTAAAATTAAGAAAAGTTCTATAATATTTCTAAACTTCTAAAATGGTACCATTTGGTATAATGTGAACGGATAAACCTAACAACTTAAAATTTTGTATGGGAATTAAGGTAGGAAATGAAGGTGGTTTGGGAAATGCGTACCAAGTGTGCGAAAATTGTATTGTAATTGTAAATTGTATTAATTGTACTAAATTGTACAAAATTTGGAATAGTTTGGTTTAAGTTTAACGGATCAAGCTGGCATTGTAAAATTGTGTATTTAATGCAGTTTTGTGATAGTAGCATATTTGGTGCAACTTGCTATTTTGTAAAAAGGTGAAAGCGTCGCTGTTCATGTGTGACCTGGACATATGGAGGTGATTTCGAATTTTACGAAAAGCACTGAAGGGTACTAAATTTGGTATTGGGTGAAGGGATAGAGCTGAAATCCCGAACTTTGATATTGAGGGTCTGTTGGTATCTGGGATTGAGATATGGAGGTCGATTTGGAAATGTGAACTTTAATTGCACGAAAAGTACTAAATGGAACTGTATTTGGTATTTGGGGAGGTTTGTGAAACGCGTACCATATCCGTACAAAAATTACTAAAAAGTATTATATTTGGTATTCGGTGAAGAAATAGAGCTGAAACCTTGAAATTTGATATTTGCTGGTGTTTGAGGCTAAAATATGAGGGTGATTTTGGATATGCGTACTGTAATGGTACGAAAAGTACTGACTGGTAATAAATTGGGTATTGGGTGGAGGAATAGACCTGGAATCTCTAAATTTGATGTTGAGGTCATTGTTTGTATGTGAGATTGAAAAATGCAGGTCGTTTTGGATATGTGTACTATAACTGTAGGAAAAGTATTAAGTGGTACTAAATTAGGTATGGGTTGAAGTGGTAAAAAAAAAATTCTGAATTTTGATATAAAGATTACAGATGGTATATGTGTGTCGGTGGTGTGAAAATGCGCCCTATATTTATAGGAAAAGTACTAAATAGTACAAACAGTTGGTAATGCGTGAAGGGGTAGAGCTAAATTTGATATTTAGGTCTCTTTTGGTATTTGAAGTTGAAAATCAGAAGTGATTTTGAAAATGTGCACTATTACCGTACGAAATATACTAAACAGTACTTAATTTAGTATTGGGAGAAGAAATAGAGCGGAAACCTTAAAATTTGAAATAGATGTTACTGCTGATGACGGTGGTTGAGATAGGGGTGTGTAATATTATGTTCGAAAAGTACTAAGAGGTACTAAATTGGGTATTAGGTGAAGGAATAGAGATGACATTTTCAAATACCAACAGAGAATTTGGAATTGAGGTATGGAAGTGGTTTTGGAAATGTGTGCCATAGCTGTACGATATGTACAAAAAGTACTAAATTTGGTATTGCCTAAAGAAAAAAGTTCAAATCCTAAAATTGAATATGGATGTTGGTGTTGTTGTCTGTGATTAAGATTTGGGGGTGGTTTTCGAAATGTGTACTATAATTGTGCGAAAAGTACTAAGTGGTACTAAATTGTGTTATGGATGAAGCTGGAGTTTCAAAATTTGAGGTTTATGTTGGTATCTAGGATTGATATATGTAGGTCAAATATGTACTACAATTGTACGAAAAGTACTAAATTTGGTATTGGTGAAGGTATAGAGCTTCAACCCTGAAATTTGATATGAATGTCACTGTTGGTTTCTGTGGTTCGGATATCGAGGTAATTTTGGAAATGTGTATATTTAATATGAACCATGAAAAAAAATCCTTAATTTTGATTTATAATTTTTCCGAGATTACGACAAATTTCACTGTTCAATAATCAGTCAGGGTTATGGAAAATACCAAGTGGATTTGATAATATTCGGTTTGTAAAATAAAACCACAAAGGGTTTCGGGTTCTTAGGCAAATCTTGTTTAAGGCTTTTATATAGCCTTTACCTTTCTGAAAGGGTCTCTAAAATTGTGAGATACATTTTACAGTATTTCATATTGAGCTTTGAAAATATATTCGATTGCTTTGGATTCCCTTAAGAGTTATTAGTTTGATAAAATGGGGCATATTTTGGAAAGTCCCTTTTTGGAATGGTCCCTTTGGTATAGTCGAAGGGTAAACCCCAATTTCAAATTTTTTTATACCCTCCACCATACTATGGAGGGTGTATTAACTTTGTCATTCCGTTTGTAACTCCTCGAAATACTCATGACCCAACAGTGTATATATATTCTTGATCAGCGTAAAATTCTAAGTCGATTTAGCCATATCTGTCTGTCTGTCTGTCTGTCTGTCTGTCTGTCTGTTTGTCTGTCTGTCTGTCCGTCTGTCTGTCTGTTGTACGAATTGAGATAGAAGGCTAAAATTTTGCACACGTGTTTATTTTTGCAGTAGGTCTACGTTTTCATATAGCTGCCGTATAACGGTACCTCCCGATATTCGGTATTTTGATGATTTTAGCGACATTATTCACCGGAATTGTTTCAACTTTGGTATTTGAAGTTCGAAATGGATACTACAGCCTATGACAGAAAATTATCTGTGCAGGTCCACGTCTTCGTATAGCCCCCATATAACGGTACCTCCCAAAATTCGGTATTTTGATGATTTTAGCGCCATTATTCACCGGAATTGTTTCAAATTACGTATTTAGAGTTCGTAATGGGAACTACAGTCTGTGACAGAAAAATGTCTATGCAGGTCCAGGTCTTCGTATAGGCCCCTCTCTTTAAGAAAATATCTTTGGGTAATATTATCAGCGCAACTTTTGGTGCTGGGCATTACATTTATATTCCTAACACTCTTGGTGAACCTCTGGTGTAGGGTATAAAAAACCTCTACGATTGACCCAAAATTGGGTGTGTCTTCATCAATTATTTATTTGTTGTTGCATTTGTCCAAACAATGACAATCTTATCTTCAGATGACAAATAGAAAATTAGTTGTCAGTTTATTGTCTATTTTATAACCGCCGAGATAATAATGAAGAAAATGTATTCATCATTTATTGACATAAAAAAATATTTACGCCACAAAAGCAAAATGTTTAAAATTAGATTCTTGTACAAAAAAAAAAAGAACTGCTTCTGTTCCTACTTACCTTCCATCACGGGATCTTCCACCAATTCCACGGTGCGAAAACCAATGCTAATCGATTTTTGTGAAGCAATTTTATTTCTCAGACTGGTGCCTCTCTTATCCAACCAAGCTTTGAGAGTAAAATGTAATGGATACAACTTTTGGCCACCATAACCATTTGGCCACCAAAGAGTAACTTCATCCTAAAAACAAACCAATACACACAAACATAGAAATACATTATCATTACAAGATCACAAATTGTGTGTGTTCAACTCACAAACTGCATTCAATGCCGCAATACTCACAATGGGAAAGGCCACTTGAAACTCAATTACGGGAGCCTTGTAACTAATTGGCGTTTTTACATGGTCACTGATAATTAGCGGATTCTTCAGAAGTTCTCTAAACGAATCAAGATCAATAACAAAATTTGCATAATTCGTATAATTTTTCAATTTACTTGCCCCCCATCATTGTTGCAGGGTTTCAATTTAAAGTGGCCACCAAATACTTACACAGCATAGAATGTCAATTCACCATAGAAATTCTGCCGCCCTGCACAGTCCATAAACACTCGAATATCCATTATCCAGTGTGTTGTATTTTTCCATGTGGCCACATCAACATCACGTATCACGGCCACATCATAATACTCCAAGGCCACCGATTTCCAAATACCCATCGAAGGTGCCGCCAGACCCCAATCCCATGAGAAGCTTGCCTGCATTTTTCGCAACATATTCATGTGACATTCCCCATGATAACGTGCACTGGGACAATTGGGTGGGACATCAAAGCCTTGAGCTTTCAACTCATTGGCCCTTTGGCGGGCCGCATAGACCGGTGACATTATCTCAATTTCGAGTAAATTTTCTTCTTGAAGAAACTGAGAAATTTCATAGGAATAGCGGACAAACATATTATCGGTACGACCGAGGAGGTAGTGATTAAGGCGCACCTCTGCCACTGTGTCAATGCCGTAGAGAGTTAAGTTTTTATAGCGAATATTCCGCAAGGTGGTGGTGTTCACTGGAAGACAGTAGCAAGATTTTGAGTGAAAATTTTATATTATTTTCCGATCTTATTACAAAAAAAAAAAAAAAAAAAAAACTTACCCATAAATTTATTGGTATAGGTCCAATTATCGTAGGCAATCCAACGCATATCCACATCGTTCCATGAATCCAAAACTTGTTCGCCATACAGTGCCGAATAGACTCCACTTGGTAAAATTATATCCGAAACAGTTAATGCTGGAATAAAAAAAACATGAAAAGGTGGCTAATTAAAATAATAATCAGAAATATGAATTAAAAACATGGATGAATCAAATAATCGTAATCTAAGAGACCTTGAAAAAAAGTAAAAACAAAATTCATGTTCTTTTAGTCCTAAAAAATATTCAAATATTAACAATTGTTGGTCTATATTTCATATTTTTAGGATAAGATTAATCTATTTTCGAATATTTTTCAATACCCATATTTTTTGGTTAGCCCTCGTATTTCAATAATTTTCGCGGAATTTTTATCATCGTTTTTTTTTTTTTTTGAAATTTTACAAGTTCACATACCGTAAGGGGTATTTAAAGTTCGACCCTTCCGAAATTATCATTTTTTTGCCGGTATGGCGTTACAATATTTGTGGACATAAAACGATTTTTTTCAAGGTCCGTACGGTTTAAGAATATTTTTTCCAGGCCCATGTATTAATAAAAAAAAAAAAGTTTTGAAATTTTCCAAATTTCTTCTTCAAGAGGCAATAAATCATAGCTCTTGGTAGAATATTTTTTAAACATTTCAAAACTATTCTTCAAAATCCTAGGAGCTAGAAAAAAATTTCTTAAGAAGCATAAATATTGTATAACCAGTCCCCCATAAGAAAACCACTTTATTGGTAAAAAAATGCATATAAGTTCAGCCGGGGCGAACTTTTAATACCCCCACCGAAAGGAGCTCGCAAAATTTCAGAAAATACCGCTTAAATTATTAAAATACCAAATATGAATTTGTATTGGTAATTATATTTCAGAGAAGGTGGTGTCTCTTGAGAACTCCAAATATCAATTTCTAGATGATTCCGCTGAAAAATGTGGCTAAGTTTAGCAAAATACGAAAACATCGAAATATGGGGTTATAAGAAAAATGTCGGTATGCATTTCTGCTTCAGATACCAAATTTGAAATAAAGGCATAGAGCTCCCAAATATCGATTATTGCCGGGTACAGCTATCTGGGGGCTATACAAAAATATAGGGTGAGATAAAAAAAAAACTGCATCAAACGCCATAATTTTTACATTTTTTTAATTTTATTGAATAAATGCAAAAAATTCGGAAATAGCATCAAGTTTTAGAATAAGTTTAGATTTGTTCGAATTGGTCACCTTTGGCACGAATTATGGCCTGCAAACGGCCAATGAATCCGTCACACGCTGCCCGAATGTTGCTCTGCGGTATTTTGTCCCATTCCCGGCGAAGCCCTTGCTTGAGGTGATCGATGCTTTGGTATTTTTTAGTGTCAACCTTGATTTCCAAAATACTCCAGACACAATAGTCCAACAGATTGGTATCCGGAGATTTTGATGGCTATTGTGCGCTGGAAATGAAACGAGGAACCTCATTTTGTAACCATTCTTGGGTGGCGCGTGCTGAGTGGGATGGTGCTGAGTCCTGATGGAATGTCCAAGGTCTCCGGCCAAAATATTTGCGTGCCCAAGGCTTTAATACACCCTCCAGAATATTTTCGCGATAATATTCGGCATTTTTTCTAATGCTACGGTCGATTAATACGAGCGAAGAGCGACCATTGGCTGTTATGGCGGCCCACACCATCACCATGGCCGACGCTCGAGTTCTGGTGGCCATCCAAAGGTGCACATTTTCAGCTGACCCCTTTGTTAAATAAACACGATCATTTTGTTTGTTTACAAACTGCTTGACAGCGAATGCTTTCTCATCGGAGAGAAACAAAATCGGTATTTCACCACTTTCGGCCAAGCGAAGCAACTCGTTAGCTCTTTTGAGTCTATTTTGCGGTTCTCTGGCGGTGTAAGTTCTTGCACTTTTGGGAATTTCAATGGCTCGGGGTAAGCTCATTTTTCAATATTTGCCGAATGGAATAATGCGATATGTTCAGCTCACGAGCTATTTTTCGGTCACTGCGACGCGAGTTTCGATCTAGTCGCTTCTTTATTTTTCGAACCATTTCTGCTGATGTTGCTGTTTTCTTGCGTCCACTTCTTTGACGTCGGCCTACGCTACCAGTATCACGGTAACGAGCGATGGTACGAGACACGAAAGATTTATTCACATTTAAATGCTGGAGTGCTCGAACGATAGCCACTTGTGGTTTTCCAGCCAAATGTAAAGAAATCACACAATCACGCTTGAATTCCGTCACGAATAACTTTTATTCTGGAAAATTCTCACCAAAATGCTTTTGTACATTTGTATAGCTTCAAGAAATATTTTTAAAAAGTTTACGATTATTGACCCAATATGTGTAAAAAAATATATTAAAAAATTACGATTATTCATAATAGTCCCCAAAACTAACCAGGATAATTTATAAAATAGCCCGCGAAATAATATATTGAAATAATTACAATTATTGGTCCAATATTTTGATGAATGTAAATATATTTAATATTAGACCAATAGATCTTGAAAAATATTTTTAAAAAATCCATGATTTTTAATTCAAAAAACTCATGAAAAAATATCTCAGTACCAAATTTGCAACAATTCCGAGGAAAAATGTGAATAAATTCACCAAAATACCGAGATTCGGGGGAATATTGGGATATATTGGGGCTTTACGAAAAAAAACTATTGTGCGAAATGTCGATATTTGGAGGTTTTAAAAATCAAATGAAAAAATTAATATATCCTCCTTTCCAAGCAGGAGGGTACAAAAATCTATGACTTTATATTGTTTTCATGTAGACCAGTGTTATAATTCAAAACAGATTTTAAACAGCTTGCAAATCGCATACGATAACACCAAGAAACTTAAACAGCTGTTAATTGATACGAATTTAATCAATTCAATTCGCTCGTGCAACAACAACAAAAAAAGTTAATTTAATTGCTTTTATGGGATAGGTCGTGAAAAACGGTGACATTCATATTTTGAAAAAAAAAAAAATAATAATAACTATTGCATATAAATTCAAACACATGGTTTTTGGAAAAATAAAAAAAAAACAAAAAGCTCCGTAAAATATTAAATATTTTTTTTTTTTTTTGCGGCTAACTTTCATTAAAGCGGATCCAAAAATCATATTTGCCTTCATTTTCATCTCATTTCATATTACAAACGTTATACTAATCTTTATGGCTTAAGGACGCACGCACACATCGATATAGCAATTAGAATTACGTTTAATTATCTTTCCGATAAACAAAAACGTCAATTCAAATTGAGTCTTCAATGGAATAATGCCTATTGCGTTGATTAGTGGAGATATTGATTGATTATAAACAAATATGTGAGTGAATAGTAGTAGGTATTGGCAAATATTGAGACTCACAGTATCATAGTATCTATAGGGTATCATATTAACCCATAATCACAAAGCTATCGTTTTCATGAAGGGATACAGGGTGAGATAAAAAAACTGCAACAAAGTCAACCGCCATAATTCTTAAATTTTTTATTTAATCAAATTTTGAAATACGTTTAGATTTGTTCGAATTGGTAACCATAGGGACGAACTATGGCTTTCAAACGGCCCGAATGTTGCTCTGCAATATTTTTTGGTCAATTCCCGGCGAAGTGCTTGCTTGAGGTGATCGACACTTGGTATTTTTAAGTGTCAACCTTCCTTTCTAAATTACTCCAGAATATTCCAACGGATTGGTATCCGAAGATTTTGGTGGGCATTGTGCGCTGAAAATGAAGCGAAGAACCTCATTTTGTAACCATTCTTGGGTGGCGCGTGCTGAGAGCGATGGTGCTGAGTCCTGTTAGAATGTCCAAGGTCTGCGGCCAAAATATTTGCGTGCCCAAGGCTTAAGTACACCCTGCAGAATATTTTCGCGGTAATATGCGGCATTTATTCTAATGCCACGGTCGATTAATACGAGCGGAGAGCGACCATCGGCTGTTATGGTGGCTCACACCATCACAATGGCCGGCGCTTGAGTTCTGGTGGCCAACCGAAGGTGCACATTTTCAGCTGACTTCTTTGGCAAGTAAACACGATCATTTTGCTGTTGTTTACAAACTGCTGTTCAATGAATGTTTTCTCATCGGAGAAAAAAACAAATTCAGCAGCTCACCACTTTCGGCCAAGCGAAGCAAGTCTATTTTCTTTGCGTTGCGATGTAAGTTTTTGCACTTTTTGGAATTTCAAAGGCTTTACCCCGAGCTTATTTTTCAATATTTGCCGAATGGAATATTGCGATATGTCCAGCTCACGAGCCATTTTTCGGCCACTGCGATGCAGGTTTCGATCAAGTAGCTTCTTTACTTTTCGAAACATTTGTGCTGATGTTGCTGTTTTCTTCCGTCCACTTTCTTGACGTCGGGCTACGCTACGAGTATCACGGTAAAGAGCGATGGTACAAGACACAAAAGATTTATTCACATTTAAAAGCTGGAGCCTGTGGTTGTCCAGCCAAATATAAAGAAATCACACTATCACGCTTGAATTCCATATGAACAACTTTTTTCTGGAAAAATGCTTTTATACGTTTGTAAACAATATAATGAGCTGTCACTGGAATAATTTTAAAAGCTGTCGGAAGAGTGGCTTAGAAATGACAGCAGTCTGAATTTGTTTGCAGTTTTTTCATCTCACCCTGTACTATTAAGATGGTAGCCCGCGAAAGGTAGAAGCTGAAGTGGATTAATTGCGTCGAAAAAAAGAATCACAAAGTATGTTTGTTATCTTCTGAAATACGAGTGGAAGGGAATTATTTTTAGCGAAGACCTGAAGAGAGTATTTTTTCATAGACGATCTTCTCTAAGGGTAAAATTACGTTTTTGACGACTTGAGGGGACTGATTTAATTCCATCAGTAATTCATAACTTTCTTTGTAGAGACTAAAAAATATCAAAAAACAAGTTAGAAAATATCAGTCGGTTTAACGACAAATATTAAGTGTGATAATAAAATATATTTCGACTCGATTATTCCAAATGGGATGGTATCGAAGATATAGGGCAACATTTTCTATTTAGCAAATAGCCGATTTGAAATATTTGTTCATATTTTTTGGAAAATGTTGGTTATTGAAATATTGAGATGTGCAGAATTTGAATGAAATCAGATGCTCATTTCCCGTTTATTGAGGTTTATGGTTATTCAAAATTTTGACACGTTGTAGGGGAGGTACGTTCCGTCTATTCGTCACACCAGGTCTCGTGCTAATAAGAATATTGGGACGTGTCGAGTTTGATAGGGATCGGATGCTTAATTCACTTTTTATAAGCGTTTCAGTCATTAAAAATGTCAACCCAAAAGGAGTGGACCAATATATCTCACAGTCCTACCTGAGGTTGCGTTAATACAAATTTTAAAAGGTTTGAAATTTGATGGGAATCGGATGCTTTATTCGCGTTTTATGAGGCATACAAATATGCAAATTTATTTTTTTTTATTTTATTTAATCTATTAGTCTATGGATAATTCCTTACAGACTATATATGTACATAACTAATAATTGTATAATTAAAATTAAGAATTTAAAAACATTATTGATCCCCAGCAATTATATAGATTATGTCTGTATTTTTTTTTTTTTTTTTTTTTTGCCATAGTATGGTGGGGACTATGTCCGCTTCCAAAACGGTCATTATAACCATTTGGAGTAGACCGGACATAATCCCCAGAAAGATAACAAGGCTTAAGTTGAGTTTAGGGTATTATTATTGTGCATTCGTTAGTAACACGTAGAAGGAAGCGAGACAAGATCTTCATAAAATCACTTTCTGAGTGAATTTGTGCATTCCAGTTCGTCCGCCTGTCCATTTATTTTTGTGAACAAAATGTAGGTCGCATTTATTATCCGATTGAAATGAGCTTTTACAGTGTTTGTTTGGTCCAAGGACGAACTCTATTGAAATTGGTGAGAATCGGCCAATATTTGAATTGAATTTCGGCACATCCGACCGAATTCAGTCTAGAAGCAAGTACATCAAATGTGGTGAAAATCGGTTTAGGTATAGCTATAGCTCCCATACATATGTTTCATCCGATTTGAGATTTTAAGTCTCTCACATGCGTAATATGCACTCCACAACAATGAATTTGGTACAGGTATCAGATAAAGCTCAGAAAAAAGTGGTTAACATTTTATCAAGATCGGTTCAGATTTGGATATAGCTCCCATATAAACTGAATGAATTTCGACTGAATTCAACCTAGAAACAAGTACTTCAAATTATTGTAAAAATCGTTTCAGATATAACTATAGCTCCAATATATATTTTGCATCAGATTTGGTGTTAAAGTCCCTTACATGCGTAATATGCATACCACAACAATATTTGATACCAGGTACAGATATAGCTCACAAATAAGTGGTTAAAATGTAATCCAGAACGGCTCAGATTTGGATATAGCTCCCAAATATCTCTTTATCTGATTTCAGTTTCTTTGTGCACAAAATGGCTATTATTAGCCCAAATGCATAGAATTTTGTCGATTCCGACTCAATTTATTCTAGAAACAAGAGCTCAAAATTTTGGGGAAAATTTGTTCCATACATGTTTCATCCGATTTGGGGTTTAAAGTCCCTCACATTCGTAATATACACTCGACAACAATAATATTTTGTACTGGGCATCATATACAGCTCGAAAATACCTCGGCCAAATTTTATCGAGTTGGGTTCAGATTTTTATATACCTTCGATATACATCTTTATCCGAATTTACGGATGTCAGCCCAAATTGGATGGTGTTTTTCGTATTCAACCGAATTATTCCATTTGGTAAAACTCGGTCCGGTATACCTATTGCTCCAATAAATATTTTCTAATATAGTCCTTATACAGCAATGTTAGTTGGTATTAGAGTTACAGAAGCCTCCGTCATATTTGTTGAAAATCAATTCGGAGTTGGATATAGTTTCCAAATTGTGACTACCCTAAAGGCATGATGCGCATTCAAATAAGATTCATAGTTTCTATGTTCTGCTTCACATAAATTTCCAATATAAACATTTCTTGTTACGGAAGCTCTACTAAACATTTCTAACCCAGTACGGAAATACCGGGTTATTCGAATACTAAATCCGGGTTTTATCCGACTCTACAAAAGTGATATGTGCAAAAATGAAAGCTTATGGAAATACCGATCCAACATCTGATGGGCGGCAAAGTATTTTTTTCGTATTGAAAATACCTGGTTACCCGGTTATTGGACTTGAAAGATCGAATAGAAAATCCGGGTTTTGCCAACATCTGATGGGGGATGAGGCAAAGTATTTTTTTTAATTTGGAAATACCTGGTTACCCGGTTATTGGACTAGAAATTTCGAATACAAAATCCGGGTCTTATTCGTTTCTCAAGAAGTAATATACACAAAAAGAAAAGCTTTTAAAAAACTCTATCCAGAAAGTGGTCATATGATGGGGTTGTTTGAACCAGTTCCGGAGCAATACAAGAAAATTATTATTTTTGTACCGGAACATTTTGAAAAACCTCTAAAAAGTCGAAAATCACTGTAGGCTACCTTCAGATATTTTGTATTTTGGCTATTTAGTCCACATCTTCGATGGAATTTGTTTAAAATCTAATGTTTGTAATTCTTAATGGATTCTACCAGCGGGGTCTATACATTGTCCATATTGGTCCACGGTTTCTTGTAACGGTACCATTCGATATTTGGTATGCTGGTGATTTTAGCCACTCGAAATGTATTCCATTCCCGGAAAATACATTTAAATATGTAATAGTGCCCAATTGAACAAAGAAGGTATTTAAATATATTTATTTATTTTTAGAATGGTCTTCAAAAGTTTGGGGTACACAGCTGCTGGAAAAACCGAAGGCTCTTTCAATAACAAAATTTCTGTCTAGAAAATTTATTGAATTACATATCAAAAAAAAAAAAAAAAATAATAATAATAATAAAAAATAAAAAAAAAAAACAGTAAAGAAAGTCTTAAAGACGGGCGGGGCCGACTTTTTGATACCCTACACCACTTTGCTAATTTAGTAGAGCTCCACATAACAATTAATGGTTTTTATGGGAGAATTCAATCATACACGCTATGATTATAATTATAATTTAAAATGCAAAAGACTAAATATGCCGAAAATTCGGACTTGCATTGCCCATTTGGTGCACAATTAATTTGAAATCGGATAAAAATATATATGGGAGCTATATCCAAATCGTAACAGATCTCGATACCGATCTCGATATTTCTGAGCTGTATTTGATATATTTCCCTGAATATCGTTGTTACGGAGTGCATATTACGGCTGTGGGTAACAAATATGACAAATCGGATGAACAGTATATATGGGAGCTATAGCTATATCTGAACCGATTTCGATCAAATTTGGCGTACTTATTTTCAGGCCTAATTTTGTTGTATGTGCAAAATTCCATACTATTCGGGCTGGTATTACACGTTTGGTGCACAATAAAATGCAAATCGGACGAAGATATATATGGGAGCTATATCTAAATTTTGACCGATTATCTCCAATTTCAATAGGGTTCGTCCTTGGGCCAAACAAATGATTTGTGCAAAATTTCATCTGGATAGCACAATAAATGCGAACTGTACTTTGTTTACAAAAATACATGGACAGACGGACGGACGGACATGCATAAATCGACTCAGAATGTGATTCTATGCAGATCATCAAAAGAAAAATATGTATATCTCCCTATTTTCCCGTTCAAGTACCCACTTCAGATATTCAATGCTTCCCCAAGAACATCAATCAATTAAAGAATGTCATTAGCCGATAACATCAAGATTTTGTTGATATTAGGCAACTGTGTTGTTGCTGCTGTTTTTACTTCCTTTCGAAAATTGACTCACTTTCATTTTGATTTTTCAGCGACCAATTACGATTCAGGTAAACCACACTTATTGAGTCGGCTCGGCTCTCACGTGCCATGGCAAATAAAAATAGCAAAGCAATCACAGCAAACATCGCAAATGGGGTACCATAAAACCCTGTCTTGTGAACACAGGAGTTACTTTTTAATCTCAACATTTTATTTTTTCTTAATTTATATCACTTTAATATTCTACTCGGAGCAGTTAAAGCGAACCTTAAACTTTTAACACAAGAATAATCTCAATTTTCAGTATGAGAATTTACACACACAAAATAAATTATCGTAATTATTTGAGTTTGCCGGCATGAATTTAATTTCAGTTTAATGGACGTTTTTATTATACAATTTACTTTTCTTTTTTGTTTTGTTCACTTCATATCATAATTTGTTTGTTGATAATTCACAAAAAAAAAACAAAACGAATTAAAAAACATTTGTTATGGTTCGAAAACTTTGATGCTTCCTTCCTAACAGCGTTCACACATTATTTCCATTTTTATTAGAATTTTCGAAGCGCGCCCATCGACTCCACCGCGACCACAAACAAATGACGACTGTTTGCCTTGCGGTTTCATTTCAAAGTTTCAATTGGAGAAGCTAGTGCGGCTTTGGCCGTTGGTCGGTTCATTCATGCATTTCTTCTTTTTTTTCTATTTTTTCTTTGCATGCAAACCTTATCACAGTCATAAATATTGAAATACGTTCTTTGGGTATAAGAGAGAACCTCCAAAGAGAATGAGTTAAGCGTTGAGAGTTAGAATGCGAGAGAGAATATTTTGAAATGTATAAACGTTTGTGTACTAATAGATCATGTGTTCAAGTGTGGCTAATTTGGCGTATTTTTGGAGGGTGGTATAATAGACTCAACCCATATGGTAATACCGAAAAGTCATAAGAAATCTTTAAATTATTCAAAAACTGACTTGCAAATTTGGCTAAGACTTTCAAAACTGGTTTTTATACCCTACACCACGTTGAGGTAAGGGTATTATATCTTTGCGCATTTGTTTGTAACATGGAGAAGGAAGCGAGACAGACCCATAGTTACTTTTGAGGATCTTCATAGAATCATATTCCGATTCCGATTTATGGCTGTCAATCCGTCCGTCTGTCCATGTATTCTTGTGAACATCATGCATGTCGCATTTATTATCCGGTTGATATGAAATTTTGCAAAAAATATTTGTATGGCCAAAACACGAACCCTATTGAAATTGGTGCTAATCGGATCATATATAGATATAGCTCCCATACATTTTTAACCGATTTAATTTTATTCAATGAAACCAAAAAATGTCGGAAATAGCATCAAATTTTAGAATAAGTTTAGATTTATTGTTATTGGTCACTTTTGACGCGAATTATGGTCTTCAAACGGCCAATGAAACCGTCACACGCTACCCAAATGGTACTCCGCGGTATTTTGGCCCATTCACGCTGAAACGCTTACTTGAGGTGATAGAAACTTTGGTTTTTTAGTACCAACCCTGCATTCCAAAGTACTCCAGACATAATAGTCCAATGGATTGGTATCCGGAGATTTTGTGGCCATTGTGCGCTGGTTATGAAGTGAGGAATAATATTCGGCATTTTCCTGATGCCACGGTTGATTAATACGAGCGGAGAGCGACCATCGGCTGTTATGGCGGCCCACACCATCACCATGGCCGGCGCTTGAGTTCTGGTGGCCAACCGAAGGTACACATTTTCAGCTGACCTATTGGGAAGGAAACACAATAATTTTGTTTGTTTACAAACTGCTGGACAAGGTATGTTTTCTCATCGGAGAAAACCAAATTCGGCAATTCACTACATTCGGCCAAGCGAAGCAACTCTTTAGCTCTTTTGAGTCATTTATACCCTACACCACATTGTGGTAAGGGTATTATGTCTTAACGCATTTGTTTGTAACATGGAGAAGGAAGCGAGATAGACCCATAGTTACTTTTGAGGATCTGCATAGAATCTCATTCTGAGTTAATTTATGCATGTCAGTCCGTCTGTCCGTCCGTCCGCCTGTCCATGTATTCTTGTGAAGAAAATGCAGGTCGCATTTATTATCCGATTGAGATGAAATTTTCCAAACAACATTTGTTTGGCCCAAGGACGAACCCTATTGAAAATGGAAATAATCGGTAAAAATTTAGACATAGCTCCCATATATATATTCGTCCGATTTGTCTTTTATTGTGCACCAAACGTGTAATATCAGCCCGAATAGTATGGAATTTTGCACATACAACCAAAGTAGGCCTGAAAATAAGAATGCCAAATTTGATCGAAATCGGTAAAGATATAGCTATAGCTTCAATATATATTGTTCATCCGATTTGTTATTTAGTCCTCCGCAGCCGTAATATGTACTCTGTAACAACAATATTTGGGGAAATATATCAAATACAGCTCAGAAATACATTTGCTAAATTTTATCGAGATCGGTTTGGATTTGGATATATCTGCCATATAAAACTTCGTCCGATTTACCTTTTATTGTGCACCAAACGTCTAATATTTGCCCAAATTGGATGAAATTTGGCACTTACGACCGAATTGAGTCTAGGAAATAGTATGTCAAATTTGGTGAAGATCGGTTCAGATATAGCTATAGCTCCCATATATACTGTTAATCGGATTTGTTATATTTGTTACCCACAGCCGTAATATGCACTCCGTAACAATGGTATTCAGGGAAATATATACAGCTCAGAAATATCTTTGCCAAATTTTATAAAGATCGGTTCAGATTTGGATATAGCTCCCATATCCTATATCAAATGGGCAATACAAGTCCGAATTTAAAAGATACAAATGCTACGGCATATTTAGTCCTTTGAACTTTAAATTATAATCATAGCGATTATGATTGAATTCTCCCATAAAAACTTTTAATTGTTATGTGAAGCTCTACTTAATTAGCAAAGTGATGTAGGGTATCATAAAGTCAGCCCCAACCGACTTTAAGACTTTCTTTACTGGTTTCTTTTCATTTTGTCCCAAAGAAGTACCCGAAGTAGTCCAAACATAGAACGTCAAAATATATGTGTCAGACTAAGGTCGGATGTAAAAATGGATACTCCTTTCATACATCCCGATAGAGGGTCCACATTAACGACGTTCTTAGGCTAATGGTATACATCTATCTGTAAAAACGGCCTATACTTTTAATACATACATATTTGTAGAGATTTAAAGAGCAATAAATTAATTTTGTATTGCATTAAAGGAGAATAGCGTGTCATAGAGAGAGAGGGAGAGATAGAATGAGAGAGAGAATGAGAAAATTGCAACAATGCAACGCGTGCCATTGTTGTTTTCCAGTCACTGAACTGCAAATGATCCACTTCTTTATATTTTTGCTAACAAACAAAGAGAGATTAACATAAACACTAGCAACGTATGAGGAAAAGTACACGTATATTAGGTGGGAACGTTTAAAATTAGCGTTGGCTGGTTCATATTTTGAAAATGTGTTTAAGGGTTAGTACTACATATACGAAACATAATCTTGTCATTAATTTGCGGTATTTTAAGGCCCACCCTAATGTCTAAACAATAACTGAACTGAACAATTTGTCTAACATTGTTTGCTGTAACGCTTCGAAACCTTGTTAATGAACTTTAAATTGAGCTATTCAAGCATTTGTATTATACTTGCAAAATTTAGAGAGGGTGGAGTGTTATATCTCGAATAAGAAAAAAGCGTAAGGTTCGGCTATATATATGTATAAGAATAAAATTTACTCAATATTTTGGAATTTATGTAATAAATAATATTTTTTTAAATTATATGTATAATGTTGTTATATATAATACATATGTTTATATAAGTGTCCGGATATTTCCTTTCGATCAGTAAAATATTTATTTTTAAATATTATATTAAAATATTTCTAATTTAATTTCAATCTGCTGTGATTCCTTCAGCTTCCGTTGTTGTTGGTCGAGCCGACGTAGAAGTCACGCCTTCACCATTCTCCGTATTGTTATTGGCGGTAATATCTGAAAAGTTTGGACGTTCACTAGTTGAGTAGCCAATTCCCGAAGAACCGGCATACAATTGATTCAGGTGAAAGACTTTGACATGATCCGCCGATAACTTGATGCAATATTCATTTTTCAACTCAATTTCGGCGTGTATTATTTTTATGGGCTCAGTTAGGACGAAACCATTTTCCGAAAATTTGTATTTATGCACTTCCGGATGGTAGAGTTCCAAATACACAAAAACGGCTGGTTTCTTTACCGAAATGATGAAACTATAATAAATTGTACGAATTTTATTGTTTTTATCCTGGCAATTGTCTGAGACAAATTGGATCTAAAAAAAAGGGAAAATTCAGAAAATAAAATTCAGAAAAAAAATTGAAACAAAAGACAAAATTTACCTCCAATTGAGGATCGGTCATTCCCACAACCTGATGGAATTTGGTGGGGAAAATATAGGTGCTGGCCAGAGTTCTCTCATCCTTGACCAAATTGAATTTCAAAAAGCTATTATTGATTGTAAATATTTGATTGAAAACCTGCGACAGCTCTATATAAAGCTTATACATGCCATTTGTGGTCTAAAATGCGAAATAAATATTAATTTATGTAAAATTTTTGAAAAACTATTTCTCAACTTACCACAGATATTTCAAACGAATTGGAACGTCTAAAATATAATTCAGACCATAAATACGTGTATATGGTTATATTATACGATTCCGGCTTCTCTATATCATCCACATGTTCGTCTTTGGTAACTGTGATGTTTATGCGATCATTTTTGCTGTCGATCAGGGCAGTAATTGCAATTGGAGCCATAAACTCCCGGGACCAATACCAAAGTAACTGAAAGTTAATTAAAAGAATAGAAATAATAATTGAAAAAATAAAATTTTATGAAAACTGAAAAAATCCTTAAACTAAATATTTTTATAAAATATAATAGTCCTTAAAAAATATTTAAAAAATCCACATTTGTAGCTCTGATTGTCCTTAAAAATATATTGTAAAAAAATCCACGTTTGTAGCTCTGATTGTCCTTGAAAATATATTTTTAAAAAATCCACGTTTGTAGCTCTGATAGTCCTCGAAAATATATTTTTAAAAATCCTCGTTTGTAGCTCTGATTGTCCTTGAAAATATATTTTTATAAAATTCGTGTTTGTAGCTCCGATTGTCCTTGAAAATATATTTTTTTTAAATTCGTGTTTGTAGCTCCGATTGTCCTTGAAAATATATTTTTAAAAAATCCGCGTTTGAAGCTCTTATAGTCCTTGAAAAATTATTTTTAAAAAAATCCACGTTTTTAGCTCTGATTGTCCTTGAAAATATATTTTTAAAAAATCCAGGTTTGTAGCTCTGATTGTCGTTGAAAATATATTTTTATAAAATCCACGTTTGTAGGTCTGATTGTCCTTGAAAATATATTTTTAAAAAATCCACGTTTGTAGGTCTGATTGTCGTTGAAAATATATTTTTAAAAAATCCACGTTTGTAACTCTGATTGTCCTTGAAAATATATTTTGAAAAAATCCACGTTTGTAACTCTGATTGTCCTTGAAAATATATTTTTAAAATATCCACGTTTGTAGCTCTGATAGTCTTTGAAAAACAATTTTTAAAAAATCCACGTTTGTAGTTGCGATTGTCCTTGAAAATATATTTTTAAAAAATCCACTTTTGTAGCTCTGATTCTCCTTGGAAAATATTTTTTTTAAAAAGTCCACGTTTGTAGCTTTGATTGTCCTAGAAAATATATTTTAAAAAATCCACGTTTGTAGCTCTGATTGCCCTTGAAAAATATATTTATAAAATTCACGTTAGTAGCTCTGATTGTCCTTGAAAATATATTTTTAAAAAATCCACGTTTGTAGCTCTGATTGTCCTTGAAAATATATTTTTAAAAAATCCACGTTTGTAGCTCCGATAGTTCTTGAAAATATATTTAAAAAATCCACGTTTGTAGCTCTGACTGCCCTTGAATTTTTTTTTTAAATCCACGTTTGTAGCTCTGATAGTCCTTGAAAATTTATTTTTATAAAATCCACGTTTGTAGCTCTGATAGTCCTTGGAAATATATTTTGAAAAAATCTAAGTTTGTACCTCTAATTCTCCTTGAAAATATATATTTTTAAAAAATCCACGTTTATAGCTCTAATTCTCCTTGAAAATATAGTTTTTAAAAAATACACGTTTGTTGCCCATATTTGTTTGTAGCCCTGATATATTTTTTAAAAAATCCACGTTTGTAGCACTGATTTTCCTTGAAAATATATTTTGTCCTTGAAAATATATTTTTATAAAATTCACGTATGAAACTTTAATAGTCCTTGAAAGAATATTTTAAAAAAATCCACGTTTGAAATTTTTATAGTCCTTGAAAAAATATTTTAAAAAATTCAATGTCCAATGTTAAAAATATTTTTGGAAAAAATCCACGTTTGTTGCTCTGATAGTCCTTAAAAAAATGGTCTTGATAATTAGTTGCATCCCTTTAGAGGATTTATCTAATTTAGTTCTTTTTACAAATCCTCGATCTTAGTCCTTGAAAGTCCTCAAGGCCCTGACCTTGGAAAAATACTCCTAAATATCTACCAGTCTTCACAACCCTCATACCTTATAATTTCCAAAATAGTCAATGCTCGACCAAGTGGGTGCAACCCAGGCATCATTCAACTGCCAATACATGGCACCCATTGTTCTTTTATGTGTTCTCTCCGAACGGAAAAGATCAGTGGCTGTCTTCACGGCCATAGCCTGTGTTATTTGACTCAAATAGATTAGTTTATCGATATTCTCTTCGGATACTGTTGCAGGTAGGCGAAAATGTCGGGATATCATTTTTGTTATGGGTGTAAAACCTTTGGGATCATGTTGTCTGTGGACAACAATATCGGCTATCTCATCATCGGGATACATTGTGCGATTCCATGACGATCGTATGGGTAGACTTTGGAAACCGTATTCCGTTATAAATCGAGCCCTTGGATATATATCGGGATCCCAGAGATCTTTTTCATCGTCCCAGAAATGAACTGAAATGCCAAGGAAATAAATAAAAAAACTTCAATCTGCTGTTTAACCCCCCTCACTTACCATCACCATAATTCGGATTTTGTGGTTCAGTGGATAAATCTTTTTTACTCTCCTCCACACCCATAGAGGGCGTGGATATCATTGGCCCAGCTCGCGGATTGAAATCATTACGTGATATCACATTCAGCTCGTGACGAATGGTACCCATAAACAATTGACGATATTCATCCTCCAAACGTTCCGAATCATCTCCAAATTCAGTTTTATTTTTCATTAAATACCATTCAATTTCATCGTTTGTTACAATCATGGCAAAGCTAGGATGAAAAGCCAAACGTTTGGCATTTTGATAGACCTCGACGCGGACCGATCTGCAAAAATAAGATTTAATATTTGAAATGATATTCTAGAGCTTCCATGCAATACTTACTCCACAAAGTCTTTATTTGACATGGGATATGTAGCGCCTGAAAATGCCATTTCCTGCCACACCAGCAGGCCATAGTGATCGGTTAAATTATAGAAGGTATCCGATTCGTAGAGACCTCCACCCCAGACTCGTATCATATTCAAGTGAGTTTCCTTTGCCGATTTGATAATATGCTCCAAACTCGATTCCTTAGACGAGTGCTCTGGCAGTATGTGTGAGGGCACATAACTGGCACCCTTAACAAAAATCGGCTGATCATTAACTTTGAAATAGAAGTTGCGACCATAATCTGGAAAAGAAGAAGATTTTGGAAATATTAAATCAAAGATCGTTTAGAATACTTTGATGGGAAAAAAAAGATATTTCTCAAAAAGAAATTGAAATAGAAATTACGACCATAATCTGAAAAAAATTACAATTTGGAACAATCAAAGACCATTTAGTATACTTCGATAGAAAAACAACGATTTTTCATAAAGAGAAGATAAGAATATCTTTCTTTAGCAGAATATATTGTCTTTAGCTGAAGACCCTAGTGTTACCTTAATAATATCCTTACAGCATTTGTCCCATACAGCAGATGATATTCACTCGCATTGAAGAGCAGACGATAGGCTAGAAAATCTCTTTTATAAAAGAGATGGCTATATTCTGTCCTATAGTGAAGCAAACGATCTTCCCTACCTTTAGGTGATATTTACGGAGAACAGACGAACTTCTCTCTTATAGAAGAAAACATTATTTGAAAAATACATTCCGATTTTTTCCTCACCTATGGGGGAGCAATCTTTGTTCTCTCCTATCGGACCGAACAAGATCTTCTCATAATAGCAAACCTAACGATTTATAGAAAAGCTGACGATACATTCTGTCGAAGAGCAGACGATGTTCACTCCCATAGGGGGGCATAGGATTTTCCCCTAATAAGAGAAAACGATCTCTCCACTATAGGAAATAACTTTACTCGCCCTTTTAAAAAGAAAACGATATGATTTTCTCCCTTATAAGTGAGCCGATAAGAAATTACTCTCTTAGAGGTGAGCAGAGACCATTTTCTCCAATCTTCTCCTATACAGTGAATAAAAAACATTCCGGTTTTCATAGGAAGGTAGAGACAATCTTCTCTCTTACAGGTGAGCTGAGAAAAAAATTACTCTCCTAGAGGTGAGCAGAGACGATTTTCTCTCCTATAGGATCCTATAGGAGAACAGACGATCTTCTTACAATAGCAGAATAAACAATTTATGAGAAAGCTGATGATGTATCCTAGCGGAGAACAGGCGATCTTCCCTTCCATAGAAGGGAGGACAATCTTCACTTAAAGAGAACACAATATCTTATCCACCACAGGAAAGAACTTTACTTGCCTTTTGGTGAAAGAAAAAAACATCCCGGTTTTCCTATAAAAAGGCAGATATAATCTGTCCTCTTATAGGTGAACCATGTGGATTATCTCTCCTAGAGGCGAACAGAGACTTTCTCTCCAGAGATCTTCTTACAATAGAAGAACAAAAGATTTATACGAAATTTGACGACTATTTAGCGGAGAGCAGACTATCTCCTCATTCAAAGGTGGGAAACTATCTTCTCTTCAAGAGAGAAAGAGAAACATTTGGTTTTTTGCTTATGGATGATTTTCTCTGAACACTTTATTTTCTCCTAAAGGAGAGCAGTTTTTATTTTATCCCATAGAATCCTTCTCTCCTAAAGGAGAGCGGAGAAAATTTTTTATGCTCTAATAGAAAAACAGAACGGCTCATATCTTATAGAAGACAAGAAAGAAACAATTCCTTTTTTTTCTATAAGAGGACAGAGACGATCTTCTCTCCTGTAAGAAAGCAGAGACAATCTTCTCTCCTGTAAGAGAGCAGAGACGATACTATATTTTATAAGAGAGCAAAGACGATCTTCCCTTTTATAAGAGAGCAGTCTTCTAGTCTTCATGAGAATAGATTATATATTCTATAAGTGAGCGGTATGTTCCTACAAAGGCCAATATCACTCTCACTGTTTACTTACAGAAACCTTCCTTTTTTGCTACAGATGGCTTCCTCTCATTCAGGAGGACATACTTTATTTTTTCCTATTGGAGAGCAAACCTTCTTCTTTACAAGTGGAGATCAGCTGACGCTTCTCTCCAGTAGGAGAGCAGCAGGCCATATTTTCTTCCGTAGAAGACCAGCTGACTATATTCTCTCATAGAGGAGAGTAAAATACAATCTTCTCTCCTATAGGAGAGCAGCAGACGAGAACAGAAAAAAATGTCTACCTACTCATAGAAAATCAAGGAGTATTCCCATCTATCAAAGACTAAAACTCACTACATATTTATACCCTCCACCTTGGAAAGGAGGGTATATTAACTTTGTCGTTTTAACATCCTTAAATATAACGATACCTCCCGATATTCGGTATTTTGATGATTTATGCCACATTTTTTCACGGATTTGTCTGAAAATTGGTATTTGTAGGTCATGACGGGTCCCAGTTCGTGTGGCGAGAATTTGCATGCCTTATCAAAGACTAAAACTCACTACATATTTACACCCTCCACCTTGGAAAGGAGGGTATATTAACTTTGTCGTTTGTAACATCCTTAAATATAACGATACATCCCGATATTCGGCATTTTGATTGTTTTTGCCACATTTTTTTCACGGATTTGTCTAAAAATTGGTATTGGTCATAATGGGTTCTAGCTCCGATGGCAAAACATTGTATGTATAGGTCCACGTTTTGGTATAGCCCCCATATAACGTTACCTCCCGATATTCGGCATTTTAATGGTTTTCGCCACATCTCTTCGCAGAGTTGTCTAGAAATTGGTATTTATTGGTCTTAGCTCCTTTGGCGAAACACTGTATGTATAGGTCCACGTTTTTGTATAGCCTCATATAGCCGATATTAGGAATTTTGATGATTTTTGGCACATTTTCCCATGAATATGTCTAAAAATTGGTATATGTAGGTCATAATGGGCTCTAAAGTTTCCTTTACCCTAAGGTGGAGGGTAGTAAAAGTTTGGTCCGCCCGAACTTAAATTTTTTTTACTTGTTTTATATACAAAATGTCCTCTCATCTATAGAAGATCAATTGTTATTCGTATCTCTCTGAAGATTAAAATATCTGACATGGAACATACCAACTTCTTAGATTCGAGACTACAAAGTCCCCTCAAATAGTAGACCGTAAGTGTTTCACTCAGAAAAAAGATTATCTGAGAAGGAAACGCTCACATAAGGTCTCAGATCGTCAGATATGTATAAGAGCTTTGCGGTATTATATAGACAAAATAAGGCCTTGTCAGATGGAAGCCCAAAAGGTTTACACAGATGAAAGAAAATCGGCTATTTTCAGTTGGGAGACAAAAAGGTTTGCGGATAGAGGATTGTAGGGTCCTCCCAGATAGAAGAACCTAAGAACTTGTCATTTTCTATATTCTTTTTTGTTTTTCAAAAAACTAAAAACTATTTTAACAGGATGAAGGATCAAAAAGTTCTTTTGCAGACTATTTGTTTCTTGTGCGGAAAGTACAATTTTACTGGAAAAAATATCAGAAGATTCCATTCACCATAGTATGGAGGGTATATTAAGTTTGTCATTCCGTTTGTAACACCTCGAAATACACACTTTAGACCCCACAATGTATATATATTCTTGATCAGCATACAATTCTATGCCGATTTATCAATGTCCGTCCGTCTGTCCGTCTATCCGTCTGTCCGTCTTTGGAAATCACTCTAGCTTCCGAACGAATTGAAGTAGGTTGATAAAATTTTACTCAAATGTGTATTATGTCTGCAGGACTTTTGGTATTGAAAATGGGCCATGTAAGTCCACGTCTTCGTATAGCCCCCATATAATCGATATTTTGATGATTTTAGCGACATTATTTACCGGAATTGTTTCAATTTTGGTATTTAAAGTTCGTAATGGATACCACATCCAAGGACAAAAAATTAGCCGTGGACCTACACGTCTTCGTATAGCCCCCATATAACGGTAACTCCCGATATTGGGTATTCTGATAATCTTAGAGACATTATTTACCGGAACTATTTCAAATTTTGTATTTGAAGTTTGTAATGGATACAACTGCTAAGACAGAAAATTGTCTGTGCAGGTCTACGTTTTATAACCCCTATTGTACCTCCTTATATATAAGCAGATTTTTTTTCAAGTTTCGCATTTGAATATTGTAATAGCTTGTGACAAAAGTTGCCTATGCAGGTCCACGTCGTCGTATAGACCCTAATATTCGGCTACATTCGGTATTTTTAAGATTTTAACAGAATTTTTAACGGATTTTATTTATATGAAAATTGTTAAAGTTTTACCAAGTGGTGGAGGGTATTCAAAGTTCGGCCCGGCAGAACTTAAAGCTTTTTTACTTGTTAATTCTATTATTAATTCGATTATTACTTACCATCTAAATCCTCCTCAAGTTCAATGGTACGAAAACCAATGTTGATAGTTTTTTGGGACTTTGTCTTCGATCGAAGAGTGGGACCATTAATTTCCGTATAGCACTTGGCGACAAAGTATAGCGGGTACAATTTTTGTTCACCATAGCCATTGGGCCACCACAATTTGATTTTATCCTAAATAAAAAACCAGAAGAAAAGAAAATAAACCGAAAGCAAATTTTCAAAAATTTAATTTAAAACATTACCTTGGGAATATGCACCTGGAATTCAATCAGTGGGGAGTTATACAAAATCATGCGTCGATTCAAGGTTAGGGGTGTATCTAAAAGTTCTCTAAAATGTTTTCAAAATTTTCATTTATATCTTCCATTCTATTCAATTCCTATCTCACTTACGCTGCAATAAACAACAATTCGGCATAGAAATTCTGCCTTACACCCGTGGTGAGGAAAACACGTATATCCAACGTCCAATGGGTGTCATTGCGACGCATGGCCACATCAACATCTCGCATAATGGCCACTTCATAGTACTCCAATTCGACAGGTTTCCAGAGGCCAATGGATGGCGCTGCCAAATTCCAATTACCACCGAAACTCATTTGCATTTTCCGCAACATATTACGATGACATTCACCATTCTCGCGTACATGCGGACAATTAGGTGGAGCATTAAAACCCTTGGCCATTAAATCCCCGGCTCGTTCCTTGGCCACCTGTATGGGTGATCTAATTTCAATTTCCAAAACATTTTCCGGTTGTAGCAATGTCGTGATGTCATACGAATAGCGGATAAACATGTTATCCGTTAAACCGAGAATTTTATTGTTCAAACGTATTGTCGAAACCGTATCGATGCCATGGAAGGTCAGATTCAGTTTGGTATTGACATCAAGGGTAGCTGAAAGGAGGTATAGATGTTTTGAGAATTTCTTTGGGGTTTTTTTTTTTTGATGGATGGGTTTGACATACCACTAAATGTTGTTGAAAATGTCCAGGAGTCTTTGGCAATCCAACGTAAAGCTTCATCGTTCTTGGAATATAAAACATCGCCATAGAGATTTCTGAGGGCACTATACACACCAATGGGTGATTTCAATCCATTTAAAGTGATGGCTGCAGGAGATATAGAAAATGTTACTCAGATGCTTTCAAAAAAAAGTTCGAGAAAACTAAATAATCATAAGTCATGCCCCGTCGCCGTTCAGCCGTCGTAAGCAAACTTCTACAGATTCGGGTTTCTTGGTATCTGTAGCAGGAAGGTAAACTACAAACTCCAAGCCTTTGGGGAAATTTATGCTTAACTCCGAATCGAATTGCTTGGGACTCCGAATCGCCAAGGACTTTACTTACACAGAGGAAGAGAACCATGGGTCATGAAAGCAGCCGCTGTCTTTTTCTAAAGTTACCAAGAAGCACTATAGGGAAGAGCTGTGCTATGCAGTAATCGACACAAACAAACAAATATCTCTTGAAGACCGCGGAAGGCTAAGACAACAGAAGATATTGGAACACCACCGACAAGGCGGGGATCCGAAAAACCAAATGAAATTTGAGATAAAAGGCGACATATTATAAATTAAACTCGAAGGGACGAAGTTGAGGTTGGTGAGGAAGGAAGAGTCTTGACAAAGGCAACCTTTTTCGTCGGATGATGGGGTACAAAGAACAAATGCTCTAAGATATTGACCTGCAAAACAGGAGATTGGACGTTAAAAGGTGGGAGATCTTCCCCAGGAAGGGGTGAGAGGACGGTACTCTGCTTGTAGTGAGCCTGTACAAACTATCAATGTCCAGTCCGACCAAGATGAAGGTCATGGCATTCTACGTCCCGAAGACTCTCTTCTTGGCATCTCTAGCAGGAAGGTAAGCTACAAACCCCCAGCCTTTGGGGAAAATTAAGCTTAAGTTCAATTCAACTTTCGGAGACAGGTAGAAACATTGCCTGGGACTCCGAATCGCCAAGGGCTTACTTACACAGAGAAAGAGGACCATGGGTCATGAAAGGAGCCGCTGTCTTTTTCTAAAGTTGCCAAGAAGCACTATAGGGAAAAGCTGTACTATGCAGTAATCGACACCAACAAACTGTATAAAGATCTCTTGAAGAGCGTGGCAGGCTAGGACAAGAGAAGTTATTGGAACACCTGCGATAAGGCAGAGATCCGAAAAGCCAAATGAATTTCAAGATAAAAGGCGACATATTATGAATTAAACCCGAAAGGGACAAAGCTGAGGTTGGTGAGGAAGGAAGAGGCTTGTCTAAGGCAACTTTTTTCGTCGGATGATGGGGTACAAAGAACAAATGCTCGAAGATATTGGCCTGCAAAACAAGAGGTTGAACGTTAGAAGGTGGGAGATCTTTCCCAGGAAGGGCTGCTTGCAGTGGGCTTGGACAAACTCTCAATGCCCAGTCCCGAAGGCTCTCTTCTTTAAAAAGAGAAATCGAGGATCGACCAACAGGAGCATTAGCAGCAAAAAATTGAAATGAACAAATGCTCGAAGATATTGGCCTGCAAAATAAGAGGTTGGACTTTGAAAGGTTGGAGATCTTCCACGAGAAGGGGTGAGAGGACGGTACTCTGCTTGTAGTGGGCCTGGACAAACTCTCAATGTCCAGTCCCGAAGGCTCTCTTCTTTAAAGAGAGAAATCGAGGATCGACCAACAGGAGCACTAGCAATAAAGAGGAGAGGGCCGCAAAAAAGATCAGCGACCCAACCTCAGATATCAATAGCAGCGGCCCTTATATCAAATTTTATGATTTCAATTAATTTCGCCCATTACCAAATTTAGTACAATTTAGTACAATTATAGTACGCATAGCCAAAACCAGCTACTTCTCTCACCCATAGGCATCAACAGTAATATGCATAAAAATTTTCGGGATTCCAGGTCTATCCCATCACCTAATACAAGACTTAGTACCATTCAGTACTTTCCGTTAAATTTTAGTACAAATTTCCAGAACCACCCCTATATCTCAATCCAGATACCAACAAAGACCTCAGTATTAAATTTCGTGATTGCAACTCTATTCCTTCACCCAATACCAAATTTAGTACCCTTAAGATTTGTCGAACAATTATGGTACACATTTTCAAACCACGTCATTATTTCAATCCCAAATAGCAACAGGGAGTACTTTTCGTACAAATATGGGCATATTTCCAAACCACCGCTAAATATCAAATTTCAGAATTTTATCTTTATCCCTTCATTCAATACCAAATATAGTACCATTCAGAGTTTTTCGTACAATTATAGTACAAAATTCCGAAACCTCCATATGGCTACACACGAACAGCGGGCCCAATATTTCTGAAAAATTTCAGACTTCAGGCACTATATCTTCACCCAATATTAAATTGTACCGAATATAGTACAATTTAGTACTTTTCGTGCACTTGTAGTACACACTTCCAAAATCATGTAAATGTACGAAATTTAGTACCATTTAGAGCACATAAGTACAAATTTTCAAAACTACCTACCTCAGTCCAACAATGCAATAGCAACCTAATTTCCAAATTTTATGATGCCAACACTATTGGTTCTCCCAAAATGAAACTGTACCAAATTTACTACCATTTGATACTTTTCGTGCACATAAGTACACATTTCGAAACATCCTTTATAACCCAGTCCTATACTCCGGCAGTAATGTTAATTTAAAATTTCAGGGTTCCGCCACCATCCGTTCCTCCAAATTCAAATTGTACTAAATTTAGTACAATAAGTACGAATTTCCAATACTACAATAGGCAAGGCAATAGTAATATTATTGTCATATTTCAAAATTCCAACTATATTTGTTCTACAAAAATCGAAATTATGCCAAATTTAGTACAACTTAGTACACATAAGTACGAATTTCCAAAACTACTTACATTTCTCAGTCTTAGAGTGCAATATCAATCTTATTTTCAGATTTCAGAATTTCCACTCAATGTGTTCTCCCAAAATTTAAATTGTACCAGATTTAGTGTCATTTATTACAAATGAGTACGATTTTCCAAAACTACCTACTCAATCTTAGAATATAAGAGTAATCTTATTTTAAAATTGCACAATTCCAGCTCTATCGGTTCGCCCAGTACCATTTAGTACTCTTCGCGCACATAAATACATAAATCGAAATCTTCCTCCTTATCCCAATCGTACACTTCACCAGCAATGTTCATTTCAAATTTCTGAATTCCAGCTCCATTCGTTCCTCCAAATTCAACTTGTACTAAATTTAGTACCGTTTAGTACTTTTCGTATACATGAGTACATACTTGAAAAACTATCCCTTACATCGACTCTACTCCTTAACCATGATTCCCTTTCTAAATTTCAAGTTTTTAGTTCTAAATATTCACATGATACGAAATGTTACCAAATGTAGTACATTTTAGTACTTTTCGTACACTTAAAGGGCGATTTTCCAAAAAAACCTTTGGTACATCTAACATACACTCCATCAGTGACCTTCATTTCAAATTTAAGAGTTCTAACTGTACAGCTTCCTCAAATACAAAGGGTACCATATTTAGTACCTTTTAATACTTTTCGTACCGTACTAGTATGAATTTCCAAAGTCCCCTTTGTGAATTTTAGGAGAAAGGCAGAATTGAAAGATTCTAGCTTCAGCTGTTTCGTCTGGCCGTTGATGTCAGTCAGTCAGATATGCAACAGCAGGTTTTTAGAAGCCGAAATTCGAAGCCAAACCCTTGCCATTAGAACGCCAAACCCTATAGAACCTTCCCACTGGTATCTTATGAAATTTTTTTTTTTTTTTGCCCCCAAACTTTGAGTACCCTACAACTTTGTTGTATTTATCCACTTCAAAAAACAACTGAATTCCACCGGAAACCTCAACATTAGTTTTCTTGAGAATCCAAAAATAGTTACAAAAGCTAAACAAAATCACAATCGCAGCGATTTGTTTGTGATATAAACAAACCAGATAAACAAAAATAAAAATTCGCCAATTCAAAGTATTCTCTCAATTGTGTTATAGATAGAGAGAATATCTTTGTTTCCCATTTTTGATTGGTTTTGTTGGTTGAAGAGAACAGTAGGCGGAATTGAGTACCGGTTATCTTATCTCAGAGTGGTATGGCAGCCCATCACACAGCATATTGTTATTAAACATTATTTTTCCGATTTGATTAGATACGCTTGTTTTATACACCACTGTTGTCTGTAATTGCGAGTCAATGGAGAATGCTCCCAGTGTGTGACGCATGTTTCGTTGCACGATTCCAGACAAAGTGGGTCGCAGAGATTATAATTCAGGTGGTCATATGTTATGAGATGTAAGTACACAAATATGGGATTTCAGTGTTTTTTTGAATTTGGCTGAAAACAATTGATAAAAAAGAACTTCTGTCAGGGAGAGAATAACGTTTGATTTGTTACCTCTTGAGTCAGAAAATCAGAGTTAAAATCTGAGCGCAGTTGAACATGATTCTCCTTTTATTAAAATGAAGTTATAATACCCAATTTTTATTATAAAATATTGAAATTGTGGTTAGATACAGGGTGAGATGAAAAAACTACATTTCTAAGCCACTCGTCCGACATATTTTAAAATAATTCCCGTGACAGCTCATTATATTGTTTACAAGCGTACAAAAGCATTTTGCTGAGAATTTTCCAAAGAAAAAGTTATTCGTGATGGAATTTAAGCGTGATAGTGTGATTTCTTTGTATTTTCGACTTGATCGAAACTTGTGTCGCAGTGGCCAAAAAATGGCTCGTGAGCTGAACATATCGCAATATTCCATTCGGCAAATATTGAAAAATGAACTCGGGGTAAAGCCATTGAAATTCCAAAAAGTGCAAGAACTTACACCTCAATAGAAAGAAAATTGACTCAAAAGAGCTGAAGAGGCCGAAAGTGTCGAACTGCCGAATTTGGTTTTCTCCCATGAGAAAACATTCGTTGTCCAGCACTTGTAAACAAACAAAATAATCGTGTCTACTTGCCAAAGAGATAAGCTGAAAATGTGCACCTTCGGTTGGCCACCAGAACTCAAGCGCCGGCCATGGTGATGGTGTGGGCCAACATAACAGCTCTCCGCTCGTATTAATTGACCGTGCCATCTGGAGGGTGTATTAAAGCATTGGAAACGCAAACATTTTTGCCGAAGACCTTGGACATTCCAAGAGGGCTCAGCACCATCGCATTCAGCACGTGCCACCCAAGAATGGTTACAAAATGAGGTTCCTCGCTTCATATCCAGGGCACAATGGCCACCAAAATCTCCGGATACCAATCCGTTGGACTATTGTGTCTGGAGTATTTTGGAAAGTATGTTTGGCACTAAAAAATACCAAAGTGTCGATCACCTCAAGCAAGCACTTCGCCGGGAATGAGCCAAAATACCACAGAGAAAAATTCGGGCAGCGTGTGACGGTTTCATTGGCCGTTTGAATGTTATAATTCCTGCCAAAGGTGACCAATTCGAAAAAATCAAAACTTATTCTAAAATTTGATGCTATTTCCGACATTTTAGGTTTCATTTAATAAAATTAAAAAAATGTAAAAATTATGGCGTTTGGCTTTGTTGCAGTTTTTTTATCCCACCCTGTATATTAGATGTATACCTAGATTTCTTTGGGCGAAATCCGTTTCAGGACATTTGGAGTCGATCTACGATGTCTGTCCGTCCGCCTGTGTGTCTGACTTGTGTGCACTTTACCTCTCGAAGGATCTCTCCAATTTCCTTGAAATTTGTTACAATGTAAGCTAATATTTATTACCAAACATGGATGACATTCGGAGATGCGCAACATCGGTCCACTCCTTTTAGTATTTCCCTCCACATACGATCACAATTTTAAAAGGAAAATAATTTATCTTATAGAGAGAGAGAATTGATCATCCCATTTTGTTCAACCTTGGAAAATCCTAATGTTTTGTATGAATACAAGTTCAAATTCGAAAATGTACAATAGCAGACCTCCCCCGGTTAAAATCTCCACAATTAAAACGGTTAAAATCTCCACAATTTTTGTTTCATTTGATATAATTTACCGATTTAATGCAGTCATAATATTCCATGGAATCATTCGGTCTCGGCAGACTTCAAGTTATTTGTATAAATTTATTATTTACATTTAAAAGCTATTTGACAATGAAAATTTATCACTTAAGTCTACACTAATTCCAGATAATATTGAACACCACTTTTAAAAATAATTTATAAAATAAATTATTGTTCAATATTTAATTGCCTTCTTGCATTGACAGATAAAATCCCATGGCCTTCGAGTGGAAATATTACTACCCATCATTGGGAACTCACTTTTATTTTCATTACTTAAATTCCAATTGGTCAGACTGACCGTTTTGACTTTATCACATTTCACCGGAGAACTTGAAAAGATAGCTGCTGTTGCTACCAATATCAGTAGAAACGCAAATGATTCACTCGACTTTAACATTTTTGTTTTCAATTTGATTTATTGTTATGGTGGTATATTTTTTTTAATTTTTCATTTTTGCATTTATATGGATCTTTTTTGTTATTGACAATTTTATTAAGCCATTTCTTTTTTAGACCATTCAAATCTTTTGTGTTTTTTTCTTATCACTTTTTTGGGGGGTGGCAATTTGATTTGAAAATCACACACGTGCGAATTTGCTACGTTGCGTTCGTTTAAAGAGTTCGTGGAAAACTGTTCTCTGTTTGCTCGTTGAAGTTATTTTCTCTACCGGAGCTGCCCAAAATTTATTGATTATAGCTTGTTTTATATTGACATATCGCTTTTGAAGAGCTGATATGAACCATTTATCAAGAGACTTCAATCAGTCATGTCGTAGCAATCGATTAGTTGTTATTGTTGTGGAATGTTTTTTACAAAAGGGAAAATATGGGGAATTTTTCGGTATAAGGGAAATACAGCCACCTGTTCTGTGAGAGCAGTACAAATATCAGCAAAATCTACTCAATATTGAGGAAGTTGTTTCTGAAGAGTTTCCGTTACTAAAATAGGGGCCTCCACAATATACATTAACAAGAGAGTAATTTGGTTCATTGGCTGAACACAGAACTTTAAAGGAGATCGAGAATTTTGAAAATTTGCGTTGGGCATTTATAGTTTAAAGTGAGATAGTACCAAATAGGGCAAAATTGCACAGAATTGTCATTGGTCATCTGAAAAGAGCTTAAATATTTAATTTGGGTGTTTTGTAACTTAAGGACACCACGGACAAACGCAATCGTAGCAAGTCAAAATCTTCCTCAAAATTATTTGTCATATAATTCTACTATAGGTCTCAGAAGACGTCAAAAATGTAAATCTTATATAAACACGAGTAATGCACCAGGAACCTGTAACCAACTTCAAACTGCTGTCATTTCTAAGCCACTCGTCCGACAGCAGTTAAAGTCATTCCAGTGACAGCCCATTATATTGTTTACAAGAGTACATAAGCATTTTGGTGAGAATTTTCCAGAAAACAAGTTATTCGTGATGGAATTTAAGCGTGATAGATTTCTTTATATTTTTCTGGAAAACCGCAAGTGGCTATTATTAGAGCACTCCAGCATTTAAATGTGAATAAATCTTTTGTCTCTCGTACCGTTGCTCGTTACCGTGATACTGGTATCGTAGCCCGACGTCAAGAAAGTGGACAAAAGAAAACAGCAAGATCAGCAAAAATGGTTCGACCAGTAAAGAAGAGACTTGATCGAAACCCGCGTCGCAGTGGCCGAAAAATGCCTCGCGAACTGAACATATCGCAATATTCCATTCGGCAAATTTTGAAAAATGAGCTTGGGGTAAAGACATTGAAATTCCAAAAAGTGCAAGAACTTACACCGCAACAAAAAGAAAATAGACTCAATAGCGTCTTCGCTTGGCCGAAAGTGTTGAACTGCCAAATTTGGTTTTCTCCGATGAGAAAACATTCGTTGTCCAGCAGTTTGTAAAGAAAAATAAACATAATCGTGTTTACTTTCCAAAGAGGTCAGCTGAAAATGTGCATCTTCGGTTGGCCACTAGAACTCAAGCGCCGGCCATGGTGATGGTGTGGGCCGCCATAACAGGCGATGGTCGCTGTCCGCTCGTATTAATCGACCGTGGCATCAGAATAAATGCCGAATATTATCGTAAATATGTTCTGGAGGGTGTATTAAAGCCTTGGGCACGCAAACTGTTTGGCCGCAGACCTTAGACATTACAACAGGACTCAGCACCATCGCACTCAGCACGTGCCACCCAAGAATGGTTACAAAGTCAGGTTCCCCGCTTCATTTCCAGCGCACAGTGGCCACCAAAATCTCCACCACCAATTCGTTGGATTATTATGCCTGGAGTATTTTGGATAGTAAGATTGGCACTAAAAAATATCGGATATCGCCTGTAAGTAATGTTGGTATTTTTTCAGACAAAGATAGTGGTCCAGTTCTACCCGCTGTCCTAAATTCTAACTTAATGCGAGATTTCGTGTCCTTTGGTTTCTCTGCAAAATCCGGAACATTTTTAAATGTTGGTCCATTTAAACCCCTAAATATATTGCGGACATCTTTGAAAACAATAGGCCTAGCCTTTCCGAGCCTAACTTCACCCTTATGAACATTTTCGTGAGGATCGGGCGATAATTGCAATCTGTAAAGAATATATCCATCCAATATTAACATCATTATAGGCGGCTTTTTATGCGATTTTTTAGATATTATGCGATCATCTCCAAAAACAAAATGGTTCTATTCTGGCCCTAGCCCCACCTCCATTTTCAATTTCGTGAGGATCGGGCCATAATTGCGACCTGTTGAGTGATTACAAATTAACATGGACAGACGGGCGGACGGACATACATAGCTAGATCGACTCAGCTCGGCGAGTAGGAAGATAAATACATACTTTCCTATATGGGAAACCAATATTTCGAGTTGTTACATAATTTTTGGCCCGATCAAACTTATAATACCCCCAACACATAGTGTTGTAGGGTATACAAAATTAAAAACTATGGCGTTTGACATTGTTCCAGTTTTTTTATCTCACCCTGTAATTAAAAACTGGGAAATCTTATTGAGTAGAATACATTTCCTAAAAACTGCTGAATTTATGGGTATTAACAAGGTCTAACCACATTTTCAATATATTAATCTACATTTCTGTATTTTTCAGGTCTCGACAAATCAGCGTCCTAATCCCTTATTATAACATGTGCATGAAGTAGAAAGTAAGTACTTATTTTTCATTGTTTTCTGGCGTTATTCGTTATTCATTACCTCGTATTATAAACGAAAATCATTTGGCCTTGTTGCTTTTATGAGTTACAATTATTTTCAGCTCACTATTATTACAGAGTGTGCAATTGTCATTATTTTGGGGATGCTGGAAGTGCAGAGGGTATATGGTAGTCATTACTAGTAATGTGAAAAGTTACACAAAGGCTATTAAATTTGGCTGTGGCTAAATTGTGGAATTAAGATTTTAAGACCATAGTAATTAATTCGACCATAGTAATAATTTTGACAATCCGTTTTGTCAATCCTTTTGCTGTTAATGGGCACTTATATGTAGCTAACGTTTCTTATATGTAGCAAACATCCCTCCATATACATATGCATATATTCAAGTTTAGGTATAGTCCCCATACCACTGGACCCTCGGTATTCAGGGTGCAGTCATATAAAATTGTCACAAATTTGGTATTTGGAGTTCGTGTCAACACAGGACGTTATTTTATTCTATAAGGGTATTTTATCAAAAAGGAAAACTAAAATGATCCTTTCTTCAATGATCTTCTACACATAGAGGGCTTCAAGTAGTATTTTTCCAATATAAGACTTAAAAACATTTTTATATCACATATTTTTTTTTATTTTCTATTGCATTTATTTATGCATTATTTGGTTTGGCATTCATTAGAATTCGTTCCATTATCTAGCTAGCATTTTTATATAGAATACCTTAGGGCGATGTTATATTACATTTCTGCATTGTTAAGTTTTTACAACCAACTCTTCAACTTTTCATCAATTCAAAGAGAGTACCTTCATATCGAACGAAATGTATGTTCATATATTGTGACAAGGCTGCTCAGAACCGAAAAAGAAAAACATTGAAGAGAAAATTAATATTATATTTTTCTTTGTATTCTAGAATCCATTTTAATTGTTTTTATAGCCTCTACCATAGTATGGAGGGTATATTAAGTTTGTCGCTTGTAACACCACGAAATATACATTTTAGAACCCACAAAGTATATATATCCTCGATCAGCATAAAATTCTATGTCGATTTAGCGATGTCCGTCCGTCTATCCGTCTGTGGAAATCACTCTAGCTTTCGAACGAAATTAAGTTGGTCGATAAAAATTTACTTAAATGTATATGATGTCTGCAGGACTTTTAATATTGAAAATGGGCCATGCAGGTTCACGTTTTGGTATAGCCCCCTTATAACGGTACCTCCCGATATTCGGTATTTTGATGATTTTAGCGACATTATTTACCGGAATTGATTCAAATTTGGTATTTGACGTTCGTAATGGATACTATAGCCTAGGACAGAAAATTGTCTGTGCAGGTCCTCGTCTTCGTTTAGCCCCCACATAACACATTATTCTCTGATTTTTTTTCAAGTTTCGAATTTGAATATTGTAATGGCTTATGACAAAAGTTGCTTATGCAGGTCCACGTCGTTTTATAGACCATAATATAACGGCTACACGCTGCCCGAATGTTGCTCTGCGGTATTTTTGGCCCATTTCCGACGAAATGCTTGCTTGAGGTGATCGACACTTTGGTATTTTTTAGTGCCAACCTTGCTTTCCAAAATACTCCAGACACAATAGTCCAACGGATTGGTATCCGAAGATTTTGGTGGCCATTTTGCGCTGAAGCGAGGAACCTCATTTTGTAACCGATGGTGCTGAGTCCAGTCGGGATGTCCAAGGTCTGCGGCCAAAATGTTTGCGTGCCCAAGATTTTAATACACCCTCCAGAATATTTTCGTGAAAATATTCGGAATATATTCTTATGTCACGGTCGATAAATAGGGGCGGAGAGCGACCATCAGCTGTTATGGCGACCCACACCATAACCATGGTCGGCGCTTGAGTTCTGGTGGCCAACCGAAGGTGCACATTTTCAGCTGACCTTATAGGCAAGTAAACACGATCATTTTATTTGTTTACAAACTGCTGGGAAACGAACGTTTTCTCATCGGATAAAACCGAATTCGGCAGTTCACCACTTTCGGCCATGCGAAGCAACTCTTTTGAGTCTATTTTCTTCCTGTTACGGTGTAGGTTCTTTCACTTTTTAGAATATCAATGACTTTACCCCGAGCTCATTTTTCAATATTTTCCGAATGGAATATGGCGCTATGTTCAGCTCATGAGCAATTTTTCGGGCACTGCGACGTGGGTTTCGATCAAGTTGCTTCTTTACTTTTCGAACCATTTCTGCTGATGTTGCTTTTTTCTTCCGTCCACTTTCTTGACGTCGGGCTACGCTACCAGTATCACGGTAACGAGCGATGGTACGAGACACAAAACATTAATTCACATTGAAATGCTGCAGTGCTCTAACGATAGCCACTTGTGTTTCCTAGCCAAATATAAAGAAATCACATTATCACCCTTAAATTCCATCACGAATAACTTTTTTCTGAAAAATTCTCATTAAAATGCTTTTGTACGCTTGTAAACAATATAATGAGCTGTCACTGGAATAATTTTAAC